CAAAAATGCCGAAATTTCCTGATGGCCAATAACTGAGTACGAGTCTCGTATACGCCTATACTGTAGACCAATCCAACGCACCTCCACAAATCGTTTAGTCGCTCCAAAGCATGCCAACCAGACCAGTCAACAGCCATCACAATGTCCACACCAAACGCCTCCACCTGCAAACGTAGAATTTAAAAAAGATGCAAGTGAGAGAGAGAGAGAGAGAGAGAGAGAGAGAGAGAGAGAGAGAGAGAGAGAGAGAGAGAGAGAGAGAGAGAGAGAGAGAGAGAGAGAGAGAGAGAGAGAGAGAGAGAGAGAGAGAGAGAGAGAGAGAGAGAGAGAGAGAGAGAGAGCACACACACACCTCAGACCTCAGACATGCCCATCGCAGAAGCGATGATAGCAAACAGCTATGTTAGACATAGCAACTTGTGCTGGGATTACACCATTCAACAGCTTGCAAGGCTGATGAATTGACCGCCACTATTTTTAGCCTGGTATCCACCACACAGCTGTTTGAAGTGACTTTTTCTGGCCAGTGAATCCCTATTTTTCATTTTTCCATTTTTTTACACACACACCACACCACATACTCCGGCATACACTGGCTGACACACACACATACGCGCGCGCGCACACACGTGCCCACACGCATGTGCACACACCATCACCACCACCACACATACTCACTCACTCACTCATTCCGACACTGGACTTATGATAGGAGTCGGATGATGAAGCACGTGCACTTCATGCGAACCTGCCTCTACGTCCACATCCGATTCGGCAGGACTCAACCAGCCTTGTGTGTGAAGTTGTGGTGGGCACAAGCGCAAAGTGGCAGTGCAGAGCGTAGGAGCCTGAGACAGGCGTAGGTGTATACTGCTTGAGATCATCATCAGCTTGCCGGCCAGCTCATCTGGAGCTGAACGGTGTACTGTCCACAGCACCGCCACCCTCGTATGCCAGCGTGTGCGTCATACTGCCTGGTCACCAACACTCTGAAGGGACGGGAACACCTCCGCCTGCTTACACCAGTGATATGTTGCATCGTTCTAGAACGTGTCACAATCTCTCAGTTCCCCAGTCACATGCCGACCAGGCCGCTTCGTATATTATCGTTTCACCGAATGACAATGAAGAGCGGACGATGATGATCTCACACACACACACACACACACACACACACACACACACACACACACACACACACACACACACACACACACACACACACACACACACACACACACACACACACACACACACACACACACACACACACACACACACACACACATACATATACCTCCTATCAGATTAAAACGACCGCTCTACCCCTCCTGTGATTGGCAGACGATGCAAGCACTAACAGGAAGTCAATGACATGGATGCATCCACACTGAAAAGAAACATCAACAGGACCACGGACACACACACGGATACGCACACAGATGCACACAACAGATCCACAAAACGGATGCACACACATATGCACATATGGATGTACATACGTTTGTACACAGAGATGCACACACAAATGCACACACGGATGCACATATGGATGCACATATTGATGCACACACGAATGCACACATGCACGCACACACAGATGCACACATACACACACACACACACGGATGCACACACAGATGTGTGCACACGTGCGCCTGCACACCGTGCACAGAACGTACACAACTGCTGGCCTACCTGACTGTGCAGTGAGGCCATGCCCATGGCAAACTCCTGCCAGGCAGAGTGACGGTCAAGACGCAGCCACTTGCTGACGGGAACCGCAACACTGAGCAAGTTGTGGCTGGTGCCACTGGAGACATTGAAACGTTGTAGGGCATGTTCTGCTGATGATGATGAGGATAATAAGTCTGAAGCGGATGTACTTGGTACAGCGCAAACAACCAGTACCTGCGTTGTGGACAAAAGGAAGATTGTACATGTATATATATGAGGACGACAAAAGAAGAGTGTACTTCAAAAAAACAAAAAGTATATTTTTAAAAGATTTCAGCAGGAGAGTAAGGGTAAAGTACACAGTACAGGATGAGCTCAAGATTGTTTAGAAAACTCAACGGGTTCCTGCAATCCTCTGCTTGATTTATCACATGATTTAGGAGCAATACAGCGCCGCTATTTGCTAACTGCAGCCTGCACACGCACACACACACACACATGCATACACGCATGTGCGCACGCACGCGCGCGTGCGCGCACACACACACACAAACAAATACATGTACGCAACCACATCCGCACGTACGCTCGCACACACACACACACACACACACACACACACACGCACACATGCACACAAGGAAACACGCACATGTACGAATGGAGCAACTAAGACACGTGCAGCAAACATGACAAAGGGTGACACACATACCTCGTAGTCTAGCGCAAGCAACGCATTGACCATCGTCCTGGACAACACTCCATTGCCGCTGAAAATCGGGTCTGCATACTCCAACGTTACGAACAGTACCCGCTGCTTTGCAACAGGCGGCGCAGGGCTTCTCGCTATCCATGGATGCAATAGCAGAAACGCGAGAGATGCTACGGCCACAACCAGCGAACACCAGTTCCGCGACATGCCCTACATGGCACGGTGTCAGTTTCACGTGCTCACACGTACCCGCCGCACGCCGATCAGGCGCTCACCCGGGCGTCACCTGCTCACGGCATACGGCTGCAGCTGAGGAGTGTTAGGGCTGGCATACAGTTGATCAGTGATCCGATCCCCACCTCCAGCAACTCTACACAGACAGCAGGGCATAGCACAGATCACAACACAAAAAAAACTGTTTCCCATTTCAAATGGTCACGAGAGTCCACTGATGAAACTCTGGAAAACAACCTTGGTTGCTATGCTCGCTACGTAAGCACGTACATTGTTTAATTCATTGGTTTTTTCAACAAATCCTTTTTAACAGAGATTTACTGTCCCTCAAACTCGTTTATCCATAAACCATGTACACCGTACTCGGTCCAGACTCTCCACCACATGCGCTCTCCAGCCAATCTCGTTCACCGTACCAGCAGCCCGACTCCAAGTCGTGGTGGTAGATACTGGAATGAATTCCCCTGTCCAGTTGCTTCAATCACAGAGATCTCAGCAGTGAAGGTTGCAGAGTAATGAATGGCTAGAACATCTGACTAGCACTCTCTGTTACTGTAAAAGCCATTATTCTAACGAGGCGCATATATAACGATTTCCCAAAATTGACTAGTTTACGTGTACCAAAGGTAACGATTCTCACTCATTCTCAGCGCTCAATAGGACAGTATATGTATCGATTTCTGTATAACGATTTCTATTTTAACGACAGATTTCTGCTCGTTAACTCGTTAGAGTTAGCACTTTGTTATATATATATGGCTTTTACAGTATAGAGAGAACCACTGTGACAGTGAAGTAGGGTTATCGCTCACTGGTAGCTAACATGCAGTAAGCGGTGGTAACAGACGGAGAATAAGTGCAAGATCACACTGATTCGCGCAAGGTGCTATGGAGATGGATTTGTGCAACACCATCATAGCACACTGAAATAACACATGGAGTGTTGATGAAAGTTTCAGGACCAAGAAGTTCTACCCACTCCGTACTCCACGACCTTTACTGATGGGATCTCTGTGAATGAAGCAACTGTATGGAAGAATTCAGGCCAGTATCCACCACCACTTGGAGTCGGGTTGTTGGTATGGTGAACAAGGTCGGTCAGAGAGTGCATGTTATGGGGAGTTTGGACTAAACGATGAACACGCCCAAAGCTGATACTTACCCTGCTGACCATCATGATATACATGCATACAAATCGGACAATTTCTCGATTTATGTGAAGAGTCGACGAGGAGATAAAAAAATCGTACTCCGAAGTAATCAATAAAATAAAACGAACACAAATGTGCAAAATACAGTTACGGTGCTAAGGAAGAGTGTGAGTGTTGTGACATGTTCTTTCTCAATGCAGAGATCTGGCTTGTGCTTGAGAATGTAACCATGTGTGTAGATGCATATGATTGTATAGAATGACCGCACAATATACAGTAAAAGCTGTCAAGGCGACCACTCGGATAAGGCGGCCACTCGGATAAGGCGGCCACTCGGATAAGGCGGCCACCCGTCCCAGAAGACCACTGCAACCAGGCCCAAGGGATGCTATTTCCAGTCAAATGACCCTGGACAAGGCGACCACCTGGTAACAGAGACCGAATTTTGAATGTCCCTTGAGCGGTCGTCTTAGACAAGTTTCACTACATTTTATTGACTGCGATATTGATTTATGGCACAACCAGTTCTTAGAGGCTTTGGCCGATGTTGACAATGTAATATCCTACATACAGCCCACTGTTATATCAGGACAAACCAGACGTGAAATGTTGACTGGCCACATCACCATAGTAACAGTAGCGTTACCGGCTACCCACCGTACAGCATTGAACAAAGAACTTTGAATGAGTAGCGTATTTCCGGAGTGTAAGCCGCGCTTTAAACACCGGTAATTCCCCCCCCCCCCCAAAAAAAAAAATCGCTACGGCTTATACTATGATGGTCAAATTAACGGTGATAAACAGGATAGATGTCTGTATTTCGTGACAAAAAAATCTGGGTGCGGCATAATTATAACTCCGGAAATTATGGTAGCTTGGCTGTACACAGCCATGTCGCTGGCATGCGGCCAAGCATCATGAAATGCAACAACCGTTTCAGTATTCAACTATAGGGAGCGGTGCCAATCGGACGTTGCAGCAGAATTCTCAAACATTTACCTTAACGTGTAGCGTGGTGGATTTAGAAATTTAATTTATACGGACAGTTCAGAATGTTCAAAATTGTTATCGCCGACTGTCAATAAATAATGTGCCAAAACTGCATTTCTGAGCACCACTGAAAAGTTTGTGTAGATCACAGAGAGTTGCAATGCATTCTTTTCATTTTCTCAGCCCACCTGTGCATGCACAGGCCAGCGGGACCGTGACCAGAAACGAAAATTGAATAATACACCATGTGTAACACTGCATGGAAAACCCTTGAGTACAGTCAGCTACTTTTTGGTTTCAACTTTCTCAAACTGGTGTTTTATAGCGGTATAATATACTTTTTATAGGAACAATACATGTGCGCATACTAGTAGATTCTACGTACCATGAAAGCTGCCCTGATAATCAGATTTACTAGTTTATACTGATTATCCACTAAAAAGTAACGTACCTGTTGTAGAAAGAGCGCCCGGGCGTTCCCAATTCTCACTGCGACCGTATCGTAGCAAGTAGCCTCGTGTGTACCCCAAACGGACCAAAGACGTCGACCTCAGTTTGTAAATAATTATTTTCAAAACCAATTTACTTCGGGTTCATTCATATGCTCGTACAGTACAGTCACGGTCTACGTACGTTTTATTCTTTTTTTTCTTCAGCTTTTTTTTAATTTCGGCCAGCGCGGCTTTTGTACATGTAATGACCATGATGACGCGATATGGAAGAAGGGGAGACAAAACGAAGACAAAACAAAAAGACAACTGTGTTGTTGTTGTTTTTTTTATTTGAATTCGCAATACCAAACAGTATAAGCCCAATTATTTTAGTTCTGGAAAGCCTTGAATATGATCACAAAGCGTTCCCCTCCGAAGCAAACGGTTACCATCCTACCTGAGCGATTGAACGACTATTTTCACTCGATTGTCACAGATAAGGAAGCGAATTACAAGCTCCCAATGGGACCTGCTAAATCCGACGACCTTACTACGTTTTCAGCCGTTTATATATATACAGTAGCAGAGGTGAAGCTTCGGATCGGTGACCTCCAAAGCAATAAAGCCCCTGGACTGGACGGCATTCTTCCGTGTCTACTTAAAATATCAAAAGATGTAATTGCTCTATCACTCACTATCTTATTCAACACTTCCCCCTCGTCTGGCCAATTCCCATCCTTGTTTAAAATTGCAAACATTACACCGATTCTGAAGTCAACTCAAGGCCCCCACCCGCGACTGCCCTTCTAACTACCGCCCAGTGTCTTTAACGTCTATCCTAGCCAAGTTCTATCTTGCTAGAAGTAGCACCCACTACTGAACACTACAGGAATTTTGAACGTTTGCGGTACTCCGCAGTACCAGTCATGTGCTGTTTACCGCCTCCCCGTTGTTGTATTCTAACGTTAACGTTATTCATTGACTGAGCGTTCTTTGCTTTGTACTACACCCTGCTATCATGTTAGGCTATTTCCTACAATATTTTACTGTTTCCATTCGCTTCCATGTAATTGGGCGACACCGCCCGTTTGGTTCTGCGAATTCAAATAAAAATGTACCAGTACCAGTAAGCTCCTGGAGGGGCTTGTGTTTTATCGTATACACGTGTTTTTTAATGATCGTTGCTCTTTCCATGTGGACCAGTTTGGCTTTCGGAAGCACCGTTCTACCGGACAGCTTCTCACCAAGGTTACGAACGACTGGCTTGTCTCGCGCGACGCTGGACTGCATACGGCGGTTGTCTGTATTGATTTGAAAAAAGCGTTCGATATGGTGAAGCATCAGCAGCTTCTTCTTGCTCTGGCAGCTGTCGGTATTTCGGGACCGGCCCTGGCCTGGTTCTGATCATACCTAAGGCTTTGTGGCAGACAACAGCGGGTGGTTACCCACACTGGAACATCTCCGTTGGTGGCAATCACTAGTGGCGTGCCACAGGGCACCATTCTGGGTCCAGTTCTATTAATTTAACATCTACCGTATTATCTCTAATAGAAGCACAGTCTCCAATAATAGCACGTCTCCAATAATAGAACACGTTGGGGCGGCATTCAAAAAATAAAGTGCTCAGTCTCCATTATAAGCACACTGTGTAAATTCATTATCTGTACCGGCGAAAAAATCCCTGAAATGTGTGTGTCTGGCATGAATTTGGCCATGACAACATGCCTCTGAAATGAGGTTGAAATAATAATGGAACAGTCTCCAATAAAGGAACGTCTCCATTAATAGCACGGGGCGGAGGTACATTGAAAAAATAAAGGACCGTGCTTATATTAGAGATAATACGGTATGTACGGAAGCTCCCGTTGACAGCAGAGGCCGTTTCTTGCAAGCTCCCGATGTTCGCTGACGACACTTTGACGTTGTATGCCAGCAGACGTACACAAGCTGAGGCCGTCGCTACCGTTACTGATTCGTTATCTGCAATTTCTGTGGATCTAGACGAGCTTGGGCTGCGCATTTTAAAATACAGCCGTCCCTCTCTAACCCAGCACTTTATAATCCAGCACCCTCGATAAACCAGCACAAATTTCAGTAGCCAAAATGTCCTCTTCATGTACATTGCAGCAGTAAATCAGATTTGTTAATCCAGCACCCTCCCTAATCCAGCAGATTTTCGTGGCACAAATGGTGCCGGATTATAGAGGGACCACTGTACAACAAAGACTGTAACTTTGATTATTTCTAAGTCTTCTCAACCCCTCTCGACTCCGATCGTTTTTAACCAACAGCCTCTGACTCAAGTGTCTAGCACGAGAATCCTGGGAGTCATTGTAGACAGTGATGTTTCTTGGTCTGGTCACATAATTATACTTTATCGTTAGGAAGACTTGCACAAAAGTTGGCGCTCTTCGACGGTGTTTTCGGCAACTAAGTTTGAAGGCAACACGGCAGTTTATCCTCTCTGTTATCCTGCCTGTCTTACTATACTGCTGCTCTTGCTTTGCAATGAAGCTATCCGCCAAGGACCGACAGCGACTCTCGTCCGTTTATCGTCGTTCTGTCGCGCTGCTTGTGGCTCGAAACTACAAGATTTATTTATTTATTTATGTATTACAGCATCTCATAAGCACAGTGAGAACACCGGCCAATACAAAGAGAGAGGGTGTTAGCCAACCACGGCAAGGAAGGGAGAAGGGGAGGAGAAGAAAAAGGAACCGGCATGGATAAGCAGTGACTGCAACAAAATGAGAAACACAAAATCAAAGTCAAGGTGCGACAAGGCTCTTAAAAAGGCGGAGGGAAGAAAGGTCCTTAGCTTCTTGGGGAAGTGCCAGCCACGCAGAGTACGCAGTGAAAAAGGGAGAGTGAAGTAGAAAGGAGGACTTATATCGGTTTCGGAAGGGAAAGGGACTTTCTCGTGCTACGGGAAGAGAACCAGTTGAAGATGACGTTATGCCGCTGTTAGCTAGATTGTCGATTGATCCGTTTGAATATTACCTTACTCGTAGCATTGCTCAATGTATCCATGTTAATCATGTCGTTTTCCCTCTCCCAAATCTGACGGACCTTTTCCCTCAAGTTTCAACCGGCCCTAGGACAACAAGAAGCTCTTTTAATGCTGCTATTGCAATATCTAAATTCCGGACGACTGACGGTGTCAATTCCTTTTCAAATCGTGCTGCACTGTTCTTTTTAAATGCTTTGCCTGTGGAGTGGCGCACCCAGCACCGCACTACATTTGCTAAGCACCTTCAGGCTTCAGACCATGCTAAAAGACGCAGCGTCTTTTCAGAAGTATTTTGATCTTCTTTTCAGCAAACGGCCTCATTGATCTGCATCGCTTGTATTGTATACCTGTGTTTACTGCTTACTGCTTACTCAGTGGCAGTCAGTGCTACTTTATTGTTCCAAGTATCAGTTTAGTTTAATTTAAACATCTCTTATTATTATTTTTCTCACCCCACACCCCTCTACTCTGTTATCGGCCTCTTAAGAGTTGTGTTCATCACTGTTGGGGCTTCCGATGGAAAATAAAAGAATACTACTACTACTAAAAGAATTACATGGAAGCGAATAAAAGAATGCTAAGAATGAGGCATTGGGGTGGATATTATTTCAAGTGGAAATACTGATCCCGGGAGGTACTACAAATAGGTACAATGAAAATCTGAAAAGGCCATGGTACTGTCATTTACCATGCTGGAAGCAGCTACATGGAGAAGGAAAAACCACAAGAAAGACGTTTTATCTCATGTAACGTTATTGGACAAACAGAGCTAACAGGAAAAGACCGTTCGTTATATGCCATACTGTCCGTGTGTGTGTAGGGGGGGGGGGGCATGTCACTGTTTCTCTTCTTTAAAACGTGTATGGCCTGAGAGTGTACGGGTACACGGCTGCTGCGAAATCGGCTACGGCTTTGCAGGAACGTACACTGGCTGGCAGAGTGTTCCACAGCGCAGGTCCACGGAAGAACGGTCGGCGAGTGCCTGTATTCGTCCTGGCCAGCGGGAGAATGAGCCCGGCGTTGGCTTGATGTGTGTGTAGGCGCTACATGAGCTGCGCTGGTGAGATGCAGTGGACTCCTCTGGCCAAGGCCAGGGCAAGGGTCTCGGGGTCGGCGTAACAAAGCAAGCACCATGGGGGAGGGGGCGAGAGGTTTGGCGGAGAGAGAGAGAGAGAGAGAGAGAGAGAGAGAGAGAGAGAGAGAGAGAGAGAGAGAGAGAGAGAGAGAGAGAGAGAGAGAGAGAGAGAGAGAGAGAGAGAGAGAGAGAGAGAGAGAGAGAGAGAGAGAGAGAGAGAGAGAGAGAGAGAGAGAGAGAGAGAGAGAGAGAGAGAGAGAGAGAGAGAAGAGTTGAGCCCAAAAGTTGGGGGCCCGGCCGGGGACGGGGTTAGACAACAAGGGGAAGTAGCTATACTGGCCCATAGCCGGCATATGCATTTTATACATGTAATAATCCTATGGCTATGTATAGCAAACAAACAAAAAGTACAGTAGAGGCCGCGAGGCCGCCTTTCGTTTCGGCAGCGGGAGTTGCAGGCAATCACCCAGACATGTGACACTGTAGGCATGGGCGGGTAATGCTAGTTTTTTGCTGCGATAATGCTAAAGGCAATGCTCATAATAATTATGAGGATATAATGCCACTTATAATACTCACACTACTCGATAATGCCAGTTTGAAAGTTGGAAAAGTCGAGTCTTGAGATGTTGCAATAAATAATAATAATAATAATAATAAAGTGGATTTAAGAAGGCTGTCTTGGATCAAGGCCAAAGCGTAGAAGAAAAAAACTTAAACAGCAGTGAGCATGTTGTCTGAAACAATCCACTGAGAAGGTTGATTTGCAACGTCAAGTCTCCGGACGAAGCCGGACGGGTTCAGATGCACGATTTTCGGAACTGGACCTAGCCAGCTTCATGCATGACACCGTTGTCGATCGGTAATGCCAATTTTGCATGCGAAATGGTGTTATAATGCCAGCATTATGCCACCTGGAAAAAAGGGACGATAATGCTAGCCATAATGCTAGCATTACCCGCCCATGCCTATGTGACCGACACTATAAACAGACACCACATACACCACACACATGTACGTCATGTTGTATAGTACTACTTGTTGGTTGTCACATGCACAGTCAACCATGTCGACATGATCAGGCTCGGTGGAGATGGAGGCGGGCCTACACGTATCTCGTACTAGTACTAGTAGTCATGGTAGTTGTCGACTTGACACTGCGGAAGACTCCGCGGATGGCGGATGCCGCCGCCGGCGCCGCCGCCTTTGGAGCTCCTCAAGTCAAGACGACGTCAACAACACAACACGCCATCTGCGTGAGGCGAGATGGGACGAACAGCACCATGTAGGTCTGTAGTGGTCAGTGCATGCAGCATCCACAGCCGTCGTCGTGACCAATGGAGTCTGGAGTACTGGAGGAGGTCGACACTGACGCGCCCATTACATTTGTCGCGTGATTGCAACGAATTCGCTGGATACGACTCCCACTCGACATGAAACAGTTACTACACACTGCGGTAGTGCTCACGCATCCATTGCCGGCAGTGGGAATAACGGAATGATTTGTACCGGATCGAAGTCTTCCAGAGGCGAGAGACAGCTCATCCGCACGGAGAGCTAGCACCAGACGACCCATTCCTCACTGAGTTTGATTTAGTAACCGATATGGGTCCATGTTGACGGAGATGGTTCCTTGATTGACGGAATCGGAGGCACCGGGAATGAGAACTAAGTCTCTGACTAGTTGATTGAATCATCACACGTCGAAGATCGTTTAGGTCAGCCGGGCCGAGCACGCACTAGACTTTTAATCCAGGATGGATGGTCGTGTGAGGAGCGTGAGGCGATCATGGCTGCCCATTGCTTCTGCAGTACTGTTGGTCATGCTGCAGACGTTGCACTTAGCAGACGGCCAGACGCAATCCTGCAATCCCACAACTGGGATCCTGACCATAACGACAACGTACGTATTACTACCATTACCGTTCTGATAGCGATACAGTTTTAACGCACGCACCCTGCTTGTTGCTGGTCTGTAAGAAGCATAGGTTTAGAAGTCTTGGCCGGGAATTGGAACATCCATGCATGCTCCACCACAGAACGCTCATCCACGAGAAAGAGCTCGTACATAATATCATTAGTCCCTGCGCTTCATACATGCATGTCTTACCGCATGCCATGGCATGACCGCACTACACTACAGCTAGTGGAGCAGAGAAAGCGAAAGGTTCCATTGCAACACAGTCATGCAGAGTTTCACTGAATTCATGGCCATCACACGATCCCCCTACTGCCCTAGCAGCTGCATGCAGGGCGGAAATATGTGGAACGATGTGGGCTGCAATGCAATTCTCGCCTATCCCCTTGCCAAGTGTTCTTCCTCTGCCTGCCAGTGTAAAGACATACACATATACATACAGCACTAGTATACTTTCAAGCCTTCTCTTCACGTGGTGTACAAGCAAGAGCAAAGGAACAATTACAAAATTTAATAATTTAAAACGGGCAGCAGAGAGTTGATTGAACTGCGCGAAAAAGAAGTGCCAAAACAGCACCGATAAATGCGTGATACATACACGCAATGCTGTAGACAGCAAGCTGTTTCTGCCATATACTATAGGCCTCATCAGTACAGCTACGAGCTATAATTATATACATAGACGTACAAGTAGAAAGAATGAGAAGAAACAAATGCGACAACCAATGGAGAACCAATGGACTGCATATCACCTGAAGATAAATCTTGAAACTCAGTTGAAAGTACATGTATACTTATGGATAGCTTTCAACATGTTACTGTTGAAGAGCCTGAAGTATACATGTCCTTCTCCTAAAGGTGATGTTGTAGTGTGCCAATTCTTGGGCATCTACACTATTACTTAACAAGTACAAATTCATGTACCTGTATCAATACCCACAATGTCTTACCCCTATCCGCGTGATTATGCACCTACATTGTATTCTCCATGTGATAGCACTTACTAGTATGTAACCTCCAAGCGTGCGATTGCGCTACTACCAGTACTTGATTTTCACAGTGATGCGCTCGATAAAAGAGTGATAGTCACATGTTCTAGCCATTCAGCACTCTGCACCCTCTACTGATCTACTGATGAGGTCTCTGTGATTGAAAGAGCAGTATTGAGGATAGAAGGCGAGGGGAGGGGGGGGGGGGGTTGTCAACTGACAACCGCTCTCTTCAGTTGCTATTCACTCTTGACGCATGCGCCGGCTGGATGAAAAAATTCTTTTACTAGTGATGTCGAAAATTTATTGACGTTCCGATTAGTCACCCATTTTCAGAACAATTATACAAGGGGCCAACCTGGTTATACTATAGTATACCAGTAGTATTGCGGATTGAATTTGTCCAAACACTCTGGGCCCGACACACTTGCTAACTGAGCTCAGGTAGGATTACTAGTAGTACTAGTAGTAGTAGTAGTAGTAGTAGTAGTAGTAGTAGTAGTAGTAGTAGTAGTAGTAGTACCCTCATAGTCATAGCAGCCCAGTTACATGGTCACCGACTGATCATAAACTTACTTCGACGAGTGTTGGCCCGTTTGCATGGTTCATGGTCCCATGCAGCAAAGGGCTATGTCTGGTGATATCTCGGACTGTTGAACATGCCTATACGGATACTATATTCTTGCTTATCTAGGAGCATCACTAGATCTATAGAGAGGTTGTGCATAACGAAAATTCGTAACTTAGACGTAGTCTGGGCACGAGTAACGTTAAAAGGAAAGGAACTTTCGCGAGGAGGAACGCGAAATTTGAAGATCTTACGTTTTGAACTTTCGCTTCTTTCTCGCAAGCTTCTGTATACATGTAGCTGTGTTGATGCACTTGGTGTCAAGATTTTTTCGCCATGGCCTTTTCAAGTCGTTCTGCGAGTTCTTCCTACTCGGCATCCTGTGGAGCTGATGGATCTCTTTCCCGCTCTCTCAGCGATCCTCTGTCACCTGGGCAGCGCTCGGCTAGTTCTGTCAGTTCGGTCAGATCTGGAAGTCCTGTCAGTGCTCGCCCTGTGACAAATTATTCTGCTGAATCCCCGCAGCAGAATTCTGCCACTTCGGCGTCTTCGTCTTCCCCTGCGACGTCTCAGCGAGGGACATTTGATCTCGCGATGGACCTGGCCCTTCTCAGGCAGCTTCGTTCTCACGACCAACCGTTTCGACGAGGGTCTCCAGCCATGGAGATCGTTGCCTGTGAGCTGGAGCCCAACTCAGTTCGGTGGTGTGACGAAGACAGCTATTCGCGACAGAGTGATGAAGCTGCTGGAGCTGTTCGCCAAAGGCGACGACTGGAAGAGATTGTTCACCACGCGCGCAAACAGCGGAAAAAGTACTCGAAAGGGTCACCATGGTCACACTACGTTTTTCGTTGAGCACAACAGATTTTCTTTACGAATTTTCGTCACTTCCACAAGTTCCATGATCCAGACGGCTCAGATTCCGAAAGATCTTTACGAATTTTCGTTATGCACAACCTCTCATCATATTCGCTACATCCCGAGCCAGCAGAACAGACTTGGACTGGTAGATCTACCATGGCATGGGTACTTGTGGTAGATCTACCATGGGTAGTTCTACTTGTGCCGTGAGTTGTGGTAGATCTACATTGTTACTTACATATATGTCTTTGTAGAGTATATTATGGTAGACCTACGCCATGCCATGGTGGCCATGGTAACGTAACACTGTACCCACATTCTGGCTGTATATGTATTTCTGCTCCAGAATCTGTCTGGGCGTGAGGTTTCTAATTCTGATCTCGAGCGCGAAGCTACATTTCCCTTCTTTTTCATTTCTATCGGAATTCTTCTTTTTCGTCCACTCGATCCAGTACGAGCGAGAGGCACAATCGTTGCCTCTGTCATGTCAAGTAGTTTTGTATAGTGAGTGTCTGTAAAGCTGGACGAGAAAAAGTTTGAGCTGCTGTGCGCGAGCTGACAAATGGCAGCCAAGTGGACAGTCGTGGAAAGCCGCAATACGAATGTGAAGATGCCGCGTCGGACATGGCATTGTCGTCCACATGCGTTTCCGTGGCGAGGTGAGCCCAGGCAGAATTTCGTTGCTGTGCAGCGCTGCCACGGTCAACGGCTCGGTATTCGTGCCGAGACACCGTCGCTCGGTCGTGGATACACGAACAGCACGGGGTGCATGCAGCAAGGGCGCGGGCCGGGAGCAAAGCGGTGCTTTACCGTCTTGGCGAGCGAAACGTCGCTCCTTCGGGGCCGCGATATTCGGTTCGACAATTTGCAGGCGTCGGATATCCGAATATGTGTAGCACGGCGGCTCCGAAACACTGAACAGAGTCAGTGAACAAGTCCAATACAAGTACAGGCAGTGCAGACTTTCCTGCTATCTGCGCACTAGTACTAGTGATTGCAGCTGAGCAAGAGCGATGACCAGGACCAGATGACCATGATGGCGGTAGGCCTACGTCGTGTGCCACCTCCAAACTACTATGTCGGTGCAATGATGCGACCATGCTAATTCTTTGAAACAGTTCGTGACATAAAATATTATGTAGTTTCAAACTTCGTGGTAGTCACTATACTGCAACGAATTCGGCCGCAGGTCTACCCACTACACTAATAGGTGTGGATGGCTCTCGAGAAAAATTGAGGTGAGCCTTGGTCCTAGGTGGACATAGTTGACTCGATCGGTAATCCCCGTGACGAAGGGCGTGGATGGCTATCGCACTCCCTCCGCATTAGCCATCGGTAAAATTTAAAGTATGTTGGCTTACTGAATTCTTCCACCATAGTAAACGACGAATTGCTTGGAGAAGGGGGAGAGGAAACAAATTATCATAAAATGGTGGAGGTGGAATTGCTTTATTATCATAAAAGTTGATGAAACCTGTGGGAATATAATGTGGGGACTCCCCTAGTCAAATAATAAATACTACTACTACTACTAGTACTGGGGATGCTGTGAAGTAATAGGAAACTAGCACTCTGGTCAGGGTGATTATTGACTACCATGCAGTAATAGTATTCCACTGTGGTCACATCCTGTGGCATCCACTGTATGCATGCAGCGGCATATTGCAGCTACAAAAACTTGATTGTGTCAGCTTCTCTGCGCGCATGCTGTGTGCGTGTGTGTATGTGTGTGTGTGTGTGTGCTGCGTGTGTGTGTGTGTGTGTGTGTGTGTGTGTGTGGTGTGTTCGTGTGTGTGTGTGTGTTCACATGCATATTTCAGTCATGTCTCCTATAGTTCGGTAAGCATGCTGCAATCCTATCAGCAGAAGTACTACAAGTGGTGCTGGGCCACCATCATCTCTTGGAGGAAGTGCACTAGATACAGGTGAGTTCATGGCCCGGTTACGTTACATCCTATCCGTTCAAGTATCAACAGTCTACCTACGGTGAGGTCGCGACCACTAAGGGTGGTGGAGCGCCGTGGTCAAGCTTGCCATTACTCTTACTGTCTCGTTAGATGTTTTGGGCAATGGGGAGTCTGTGGTTGATGTTAAGTATAAAGTTCACACTTAACATCACAACAACAGCACAACAACCACGACTCCCTCCGAGCTTACTTTACATCTTGTTGATGTAAAGTATAAATTTTATACTTAACATCAACCACAGGCCCCATTCCCCACATGTTTGTTATAATACATGTATTACAACCTCGTTAAATAATAATATTAGCACCTACAATAGAGTGGTTTCGTATCTTTGTCATGTGACTTCATCTTTGTACAACGTGTGCATGGCATGTGGACTGTGGAACCAACATGACAGTTCAGTGCAGTCATGATGTGGATGTGAAGCTGCTCTGTACACACCTGCTCCCTTGCATGCTTGCTTCAAACAAATGTTTGAGCCAGAAATTATGATTAGTAGCTGAAGTTGGACACACTTAGGGAAGTGATGTGCCCAAACCGAGTGTGCTCAACTCCCTGGCAGGTTCTCACTGCTGCACGTCCATGCTATTGCCTCTGGGGTCCATCGTTTGGGTTCTAGGGCAGAACCAGGGTAGCTGATCTAAAAAATGGGGCATTGTACCTGCATGCCAATCACGCACACTTTTTCCAGTTGATCAGTATGTCGCGAAGCTCTTTTTCCAGGTGATGTATGTCGCGAAGCTCTTTTTCCTGTTGCTGCACGTCGCGAAGCTCCTTTTCCAGTTGATGTATGTCGCCAAGCTCTTTTTCCTGTTGCTGTATGTCGCGAAGCTCTTTTTCCTCTTGCTGTATCCTACAGGCAAAGTGCAAGGCTGCAAGCTCTTTCACAATCTCAGACATTGCCTGGGCAGTGTACAATACTTATACCTTTTTGTTGCCAGTCAGCGCTGTAAAATCCTATCCTTGGCATCACCACCGCAGAACTCCATTCTTGCTCTCTCTCTCTCTCTCTCTCTCTCTCTCTCTCTCTCTCTCTCTCTCTTTCTCTCTCTCTCGTTCTCTCTCGTATGCATGCATGTTATGTGTTTAGGACTGCACAGCAAACAGTGACATCGCTAGTCACCACGACAGGTACATCGAAGACGACGCGATGTTGTGCAGGATACACTCGGGTATCGTCAACGAAGTGCCGGCCAGGTTAGACAGTAGTGGCCATGCGTGTCTGTCTGTCTGTCTGTCTGTCTGTCTGTCTGTCTGTCTGTGTCTGTGTGTGTCTGTGTGTGTCTATGTGCGTGTCTGGGTGTCTGGGTGTGTGTCTGCGAGCGTGTGTGTGTCTGTCTGTCTATCTGTCTGCGAGTGTGTGTGTGTGCGTGTGTGCGTGTGTGTGTGTGCGTGTGTGTGTGTGTGTGTGATTCCAAGATTTCTTTTGACTCTCTCTCTCTCCTCTCCCAGGGGAGATCCACGTGACCAGTTTGGCAGTAAGCAATAAGTACAAGTAATGTGCGTGTGTATGCGCACGCTTGCACGGGCGTCTTTCGCCCGAATCTATCCCCAAATTTGATCACCCATGATATATTGTTGTGCCACTGGGGAGTGAGCTTGAGGCATAGCATGAACTAAGTTTGTTCCTGGTCTGCATATGATTACCTCTGATATCTGCCATTTTCAGAACTCATCTTTTTTGAAAGACCGATTTGCACCGGGATTCCTGTGAAAGCAAGGATAGGGCCATAAGAAACTAGTTCTATCCATAGCCGTTTCTATTGCTGAAATGAACTTGAGGTTAAAACCCTTTGGGCAAGCAAGGGTGAAGCCGCTCGCTATTCCATTCAAGTATATCCACCATTGCACACCATGTGTTGTCCGTCACCTTTCTGAAATACTTTTGAAAGAAGCTATTCGCCGCTTTAGATGACCGTGGCCGAATCTTCATAGGATTTCATAAGCTACGATTGTGATCTGTGTGTGCTTGTGTGTGTGTGTGTGTGTGTGTGTGTGTGTGTGTGTGTGTGTGTGTGTGTGTGTGCGTATGTGTGTGTGTGTGTTTGTGCACATGTACGTGCATTGTGTGCCTGCGATTTTATGCGGACCTGGTGCTGATTTTGCAGTGTGTAGCTCCGCGTGTCTAAATGGAGGTACCTGCGTCGCACCGAACACCTGCTCGTGTGTGTCAGGATACTCTGGTAAAACGTGTGGCAATCGTGAGTTAACTTAGTTAACAAATCACCTGGTATTATTTGAGACACACGATGTCCCTGACAGGTAGTGTGAGAGCTGTCGTGAGTTCATTGTTTTACAGGGTGTTAGAGGCTGCCGTGAGTTCCCTTCGGGAACGGACACGATATTGTACTTTGTTTTACTTTCTTCATTGCGCTAGATCAGTCTACAATTAACTAGTCAGGTGTCTGTCAAGCTTATGCCATGTGTGCAACGTTACCACCTCACTGGTTTTGAATAGCCTTCTTTGCCTCTGCGTGTGTGTGTATGTGGAACGGTGTGTGTGTGTGTGTGTGTGTGTGTGTGTGGAACGGTGTGTGTGTGTGTGGAACGGTGTGTGTGTGTGTGTGTACATGTATGTGTGTGTATGTGTGCATTTGTGTGTGTGTGTATGTGTGCATTTGTGTGTGTGTGCGTGTGTGCACTCAGCACTTTGCCAACCTGCTTGCAGCAATGGTGGTGTGTGCACCCGGCCAAACGTCTGCAGCTGCCCAGCAGGCTATAGCGGCGCACAGTGCACTGCAGGTGAGAATCCCAAGATTTGAGCACTGTTTGAGTTGCTGAAATGCACTGCAAGCCATGCAAATCTGGAGTGACATGTACAGCCTGTGTTCAGTGATATTTTAATGAAAGGTGCTAGGTCCTGGTGCCTGGATGCGATGTGTAACAGGAAATGGTGTCTGCCACGCTACTCGCTAGCATGTCATTCCTTCATGTCCCTCCAGTACAGATCTACTGGTCACTTGAAGACCCGATGCTTGATGAGCACACGTCAGGTGAAATAGCACGTCATAGTACATTTGAGATCAACGGGAAGAAGATGACGACGTCCACTAATTTAGTATCTGTGCACACGAATCTGCTGTATATGTGACTCTGTGTGTCAGCCATGGCATCATCCCCTGTGGTTCCATGCCTAGCATGTACGTCTGAACCATCCCGCAAAGTTTGAATGACGTAGGTTGAGCGATCGTTCCGCGAAACATACTTTTTGAAATTCTCTTCATAGTATATCTTCCACCATTGAAATTTCGAATTTCTTGCTGAGAGGGGTGGCTTGCAACCTCGATATGGCTTGTTCCAGGCATGCTTTGGAGCCATCCCTGTTGAAGTAGTGGCGGGGATCTGCCCTGCAACTGCTACAACAAAAAAATGATTCGATCTGAGAAAGGGTGAGACCGCGAATCTCGGTTGAATATTGAGTATTTCAAGCCTTTTCACGACGAAGATGGAGTTCTTTTTGGAGATGGACGTCGCGGCAAAGGACATGGTGTCCGACTTCTGGCGTCTGGTGAAGCCAGGGATCATTTGTCCAGTCAGGTCGGCAGCCTAACCGTCGGTAAGCTTTTGTTTGGATCCCGTTCTGCTCGATGTGGTAGATCACAAACAATTTGATATCGCACACATTGATCTCAGCATCGTGCGTACGGTATTTTATATTCAGAAAATCCCAAAGTGTCTCTGTGTGGCCGTCCTATGCCACGAGAAACTCCAATCAGGCTCCTATGTCCTCTGCCTTCATGATTGAATGTCCACTTCGTTTGAACAACGAACACAACAATCGAGGACGGCTTTGCAATGAAAAATACAGCTATACTGGAGCTGAAAAAAAGAAGAAAAAACGTGCTCAGGATGAGACTCGAGTACACGCATACTCTCCCAGCAGGTGAAGCGCAAATTTTTGTGAAAAATGCGTGTCGCCGACTGACCCGTAATTTCGCCTGACATGAAGCTCTGATTGTGACAAATTCATTATGTGCACTATTGTGCTGGTGCAGTGAATGTTGTTTGATGATTCGTCGCTGCCTGAAATTGTTAAGTTTCAGCAGAAATAGCCTTTCGTCCCCTGTGTGTGTGTGGGGGGGGGGTGTTGTGGGTGTTTGTGTACCCGTCTGTGTACCTGTCTGCACTCTGGTGCATTGAGCACCCCATTCAGGCTACCCCGACTGGCCCTGTGATTGTGTTGCGCTGAACGATGTGTCATAGCTTTATGACTTTATCACTTTGCATTCTCAACTCCCTCAAATCCATGCCTATTTTTTAGTTAGTCAGAATGGTTAGAGGGCCTGCTGCTCCATGCCCTTTGCCTTGGTAGTCCTGTCCTGGTTTGGTAAAGCCTGGCTGGATTTCTAACCCCCTATTCTTTGTCACCGTGACTTCCTACTGCAAACGTGGCAAAGAAAACTGCATGGGCCACACAAGTCAGGCTGTACAGTTGGTTTCATCTAGTGAACCTACAATTACGTGGGGAAAGACACAAAACTTTAGGCCGGTTTCAGTTTTTAATGGATGGTCTGTACCCGGGCCCTCTCTCGCACTTTGTGTGCCAGTTGGTCCAGGACCACGCGTTGAGTGAGATAGAATAAATCAATAAAATACATGACCTAGACTCCAGTCGGAGTTGTTTCAGTGCATGTTTTGAATTTACTCTTGTTTTCTCGTCGGTGTGTGATGCAGTGTGCCCGGATGGTACGTACGGCGTGGGCTGCCAGATCTGCGGCTGCCGCAACGGTGGTACGTGTGCCAAGTTCTCCACCGCAATGCAGTGCACTTGCAAGCCCGGGTAAGCCGTCCACGTAATCATTACGCTCAAAACAGAGAGGTTCCAGGCTGTGCAATAGAGTGTTTAATGCCAAAAGGCAGAGCTAGTTCCAACAAGAATAAGAGGATGAAAAAGTGTTTAGCTCCGAGTTTCACACACTAATGAAACATCAGAAAACTGTGATGAGTAAATCTGGATGGATATTCATTATGCCCACATGAATTGTTCTCGAGTCGGTCACGGACATACTTGTTGTAGTACGTTATTTTGTGTATTTTTGTATTTGTTTTTATTTTACATCGCAAGTCAAACGGGCAATCATGCCCAATGTTATGATGACGGTGGAAAAGGAGAAAAGATTTGAGAATAATATTAGATAACCTGGATAAGAGAAGTGTGCGTCGTGTGTACGTCGTGTGTTCGTCGTGTGTACGTCGTGTGTACGTCGTGTTGGTACATGGGTGTGTTGCTGTGGTGTGAAAAACAGTCTTCGTTTCGAGTTTGTCATGTCTAGTTGTGTTTCTTCGTCGTGTCAATAAGCAGTCTTCTAAAATTAATGTGGTTATCATCGTCCATTGTATAAGTGTGGAGATGGCACAGGACTGGGAGCAGGTGAAGAAAGTTGAGTTACAACATACTGTTATGGACACTGAAATCCGGTGGAATGACCGGGGCCAGCTTGCCTTACTTGCCTAGCATGTACTCGCACTGTAGTTCACATACATACACACACTGTAAACACGGACCAGCGGTGCGCACGGCCGCTGCGAGGCCAGCGCCCCGTGGTCGCTTGACTTATGAACGGATTTCAGCGTCCGCAACAGTATATTCATCCTATTCTTACTTACCATAATTATCATGCAATAACTTTTCAAGGTCATTGACCGAGTAAGAGGTTTCGTGCCGCGCAATGGCATGATGCAGTCCTCTCAAAAGTGGTGAGGACTCCTGGGGCTTTGTAAACCGTATTTTATTATTCCGGTGAATCTCTGTATGATATTGGCTGTTTTTAGAAAAGAGATCAGGTCTTTATTGGAAAGTGGAGATATTCCCAAATCAAGACCTGTACCCTTACTGCATCATCGGAAGCTTTAGGGTGTATCTGAACTTGTCTTGAAAATATTTCATTAGTAGAAGTTAGGTTGATTACTGTTCTATTTCAGAGAGGACACCATCTTCAGGAACAACACATGGCCGTGGCCAGTAATGGCAATATCCAAACTTGCTCGGCCCACCTTGAAGTGCTTTCTTTATCGGTGGAAGGGAAGTGTTAGTGGTGATGTCAGCCTGGCATGGACCACCTAACCCATAGTAACGTTATGTATCACACCTATGTCTGGCCAACTGGGCCTTCCCAGATGTTTGATACTACACTCATATCCCCCTTATCCAGGCGGTCCGGGACCGGGCACTGTGCCCACAACTTGGACATATTCGTAACTCTGAATCACAAATGTTCTGAACGGGACGGGCCACAGATCTGGCGTGTGACATCACCATTTCCACCAAAAATGGCAGAAGAGTAGTTATATTTCCACTAAACTCACCCACAGGGTGCCCGGTAGACCGAGGTACCCGTCCGTATCTTGGAGGTCCGGATGAGACTGGAGATATGAGTGTATGCCCCTAGAAGTCCCACTCACTAGCCATGCCGGCTCCTTAGCTTGTCCCATTGGTCTCCCTCTGCTGTGCTTGTCTCTGCCAGGTACCAGGGTGCAAGGTGCGAGAACCCCTGCCAGCTACCCAGTTGTGGACTGGCGTGCGGCTCGGCCTGTTCGTGCGGCAATTTCGGAACGTGTGACTACAGGTCATGTGCATGCACATGCAGACCAGGGTATCTGGGAGTTACGTAAGTTTTCAATTTAATTTTACAATTTTCCGGGCCTTGAGTTATAGAGGAAAACCACATGGGAATGAGTTATGAAGCAACCAAGCAACTGTAACAAGATAATAATCTTGCTACAGTTGTGAATAGTTGCTTCGTAACTCATTCCCATGTGGTTTTCCTGACCTCTATTGTACATTTCTTATTGGCTCAGTATCTGAGTTAAAATTTCCATGATTCTTTGACTTTTTGATTAGAATTTGTGGCAATTCGATTCTCAAGACATTTTTCTACTCAAACCCCGAGGTTTTCGGGGAGATTTCCACTATCATGTGGCAGGCTGCAGATGGGAAGAACATGTCACTATAAACTGCAGATCTGTTGACTGGGCAGTTATTCTTCTTTGGCTGTTTCAGGTGCGCCCAGAAATGCACCCCCGGCTTCTACGGGCACAACTGCTTGCAGAAATGTGCGTGCCAGAACGGCGCGGTCTGCGACGGTGTGACTGGCAAGTGCTTCTGCAAGCCTGGATGGCGGGTGAGCCCAGAAGACCATTTAGCCTAGAAGCATGTGTTTGTCTCAGAAAAACCATTGGTTTATCAAGACAGGGAGCCGGATAACGGCACTGTCTTGTACCGTACTGCGTAGCTCTGCTCCGACAGGTTTTCCGCCGGCCAGCTAGTGAACCGCAGGGAACAGAACCTGATAAGTCGCATCCGCTCACACTGCTGTTTTGCATCCGAGTGAACCACATGGCCGGGTATCGCCCTCATCTCTGGGGTCGCTCCCCATATCATTAATTCTTGCGTATCCTATGAAATTGAGTTAAATAAACAATTTATAAAATAAGAATCAGAGTGGCTAGATTTGAAAAGAAAGTTGCAAGAGTCATGCAAGCAGGCACAGTATGTTGATCAAAGACCATGTTTGAGAAACGAAAGGTGCCCGGTTTAAGTCCTGCATGAAAGCGGGTGGATTCTTCCAACCGTACTGCAACCCATAGTGAAATGGAACTTGCGGACTGACACAAGGGTAACATGGATGCAGCGAGTGGGAGAATGCCCTCAGATCCTCTGGTTGGCGGATATGATCTACCCCCCCCCCCCCCCCACCTCCGCTTACAGTCCATTCAGAAAAAAGATGAGCACTGGCTCTGGAGAGCTCCCGTATTTGGCGATTTTGTGGTGCACTGTGCAGTGCCTCCAGATTCGAAACTTGAAAAATGGTCCTAAAAGGCACCTCAACTGGGGTTCGAACCGCAAATGTACTTGGTCCGCGTCAGCGATATTGTCGCTTATTTTTCAGCTTTGTTTATATGTCGCCAATGCTCACTTGGCAGCCCATTTCATCCCAATTTTGGTTAGCAAGTTTGGTTACTAGTACCTGAAAGGTCTAGAGTGGATTTCGAGTGGATTTCGAGTGGATTTCGAGAGCGACGGGTGGGTGATTCTGATTGATACAGCGCCTCATCAAAATAGATTATCTTGTTACGCTGTGCAGGTAAGAGCAGCGCAAGCCACAAGAAAGTAATTGGCTACTCGGAATCAGCTCCATTTTGCTGAACGGCCGAGATCGCTCACCTCAGTGATCGCTCAAGCTGAGATCGCAGCTCCCTTACCTCCAGCTCAATGCTCGGAGTATCCAGCGCGTCGTGGAGATTTGCATTTGATTTGCAAGTACTGCAGGGCCGGAGGCCGCTTCCGCGGAGTGGTGCGGCCGAAGGGCCATGTTGAAGGGGGGGGGGGGGTCTGGGGGTCCTCCCCCTGAAAAATTTTGGAATTTAGACGGCGAATCCTGCAGCTCTGGGCAATTCCCTGTACAAAATCATACATCGAAACTTTTTCTCCCCGGTTTTGGACGTTCCATATGGCCATGTGGACCGACTTTTTGGGAAGTTTTTTTTTTTTTTTTTTTTTTTTTTTTGGTACGGCCATAGCCGTACCGGCCGTACCAGTGGCGCCGGCCCTGTACTGTACGGGTCGTCGTCGTCGTTCAAAATAAAATCTTGCAAAGAACAGCGTCTGATTTGAACCACAAAGGCTGTCGTGCTGCCCACGCGAAGTCATAGAGAAGGCGACCGTCACGATCGACATCTCTTTAGAAAATTGCCAGGCACCGGAGAGGAAGAGAGATGAGCTTGCAAAAGCAAGAGAGTCGATCCGGAGCAAACATTTTCACCATCGCCGAGAGCAGCGACGAGGAGGACCAAAAAAGTAGGAACCCTTCCTTGGACAATAAATTCCTCATAGCTAGTTGTCATTCTATACCTTACCGTCCATCCTACCAAGTTTTATCACTTCAAGTGCACGCGTTCATGTCCAAAGTCTAAGTTCAAATTGTCAAAAGATAAGCGACAATATTGCTGACGCGGACCAAGTACTGTTATGCAAGTGGAGTGAACGGCCTGGATTTTCATGGTTTTTCCCCAATTCAGTGCTTTGGCGGCAAAACCTGGCCGAAATCCTATTCTTGTTATGGCTTGCTCTTTGGAGAAATAGACTTCAAAAACACAATTGGAAGAGCATTCCATGGGGATTGCCGAAAAATTGTGACGAAAACTCCAAATTTGACCTGTTTATGGCCAAAAGCTAGGATATCATCTTTTTCTGAATGGACTGTAGGAGCTGCATCTGGCACCGCCTGATCGTGAGGTGGTGACGTTCCAAGGCAGGGGAAAGGTGGTTCTTGATCCATCCTCCATGCGGATCTGTATTATCATATTATTTCAATGGCTGAAGTGTACTAAACACTCGAATATGAGTCTAACACACTCATTTGCAATGACAGCAATGATGTCTGTGTGACGCTAATACGACTACATGATACTCAGTGCATTCAAGCAGAGTGCCCCACCTTGATCAGTGCATTCAAGCAGAGTGCCCCACCTTGATCAGTGCATTCAAGCAGAGTGCCCCACCTTGATCAGTGCGTTCAAGCAGAGTGCCCCACCTTGATCAGTGCATTCAAGCAGAGTGCCCCACCTTGATCAGTGCGTAATCGTTTCCCCTCTGTTTTCTTAGCTAGCAGTTCCTCAACTCATGAACGTGTCTGTTTGCCTTGCGCGTGTTTTTTACCCACCGCTGTGTCCCCGCCTGTCAACAGGGTGATGCCTGCAACTTGCCCTGTTCTGCGGGGACCTACGGGCAGGACTGCGCGCGTTTCTGTAGCTGCATGAACGGAGGGCTGTGCGACCCGATCACAGGCGGGTGCGCCTGCACAGCGGGCTATACATCCACAGAGTAAGTATACAGTCAAACCTCGTTAGGACGAACACTGATAAGGCGAACTTTCCATTAGTACTAACTAAGGCCAATCCTATGGTTGGCCAGGCATCAATTCAAGTCAAAATTATTCGTTTACGACGAACTTCTGTACAGCGAACTTTCGCGAAGACGAACTATTTTCAAGTGTGATTTGAATAAAGTCAGTGTGGTCATGTACATGTAGTACGAACTTTCGGTCCACGAGCGTGCGCATGCGCTGGCTGCCTTTTTTCTTCTTTTTTTCAATAGTCGAGGTCATATTGTACGTACAGTGCAAATTGTTTTCAAGCGTGTTTTTAACAAAATAATCAGTGCGTTGTACGAACTTTCGACACAGTCGTGATTCATTGCACTTTGTCATTGTACTTACCTGTTTCTGGCTTATGCTAAGAATAACATGCTTCCCATGTACCACAGCATGCACCTTCACGTAAATACAATCCATCTGATATGCATATCGATTTTTTGTCAGACCTGGATAAGAAGAACTCCCGATAAGACAAACAAATGTGTTCAGTCCCTTGAAGTTCGTCCTAACGAGGTTTGACTGTAGTTGAATGTGTGCTTGCTGGACCCTGTACCCAGCGGAATCATGTACTGTCCGGTCAAATCTCCATGCAGCACTAGTGCTGTGGATTGAACTTGCATCCCTGGATCTCGCGAAATCCTGCCACATCAGGACGGTTTCCGCCTCGCCAAAGACGTCCGGTTTGGGCAGGTTTTCACGTAGCACCTTGTTTGTCGAGGTATAGCGAATGTGGCTTTGAATACACTATTGCAGGCTCATAACACAAAGCTTGTGCTACAGTCTGGCCTTGCTATCGAGTGCACTGTGTGTGGTCCACATGCTTGGACGAATAGGGAGGGTATAGCCGCGCATGATGCTCTGGCGCAGACTACTGCACTGTTGGCTGTACAGTGCCAATGCTCATGTCCCTTGGAGCATCACCACTCTGTCTGTCTGTCTGTCTGTCTAGTTATAATTGGCATGAGCTCATGATGCTGACCCTCTTCTATCCCTTTCTTGCAACCCTTTGCCACCACATACACCCATTTTACAACCGAACGGGCGGTCGCCTACATTGTACGGGATGCCAAAAAGCATCAACAACAAGAACAGCAGTAACAGGAGCAACAACAACTAAGACAACAACAACAACAACAACAACAACAACAACAACAACAACAACAACAACAACTTCTCTTATTGGCCACAGGCCATCGTGAGAATAAAAGATTTCAAAAATAAAGATTTCAAACAACAACAACAACAACAACAACAACAACAACAACAACAACAACAACAACAACAACAGCAACAGCAACAGCAACAGCAACAGCAACAGCAACAGCAACAGCAGCGACGACGACGACGACAACGACGACGACGACAACAACAACAACGACGACACCAATAATAACGCCAACAAAAGTGGCCCTGTAGTTCCAGCACTGTTGGATGCTTACTCCGAAGTCCGTATACGATGTGCGCTCCATTGAGACGGCATAGTACACATACTGGTAGTGCGACCATCAAGGCTACACATATCGTAGTGACGCGCATATAAGCACATGTGCCTATACCCGGGCATAAGCACATGTGCCTATACTCGGGCATAAGCGCATGTGCCTATACTCGGGCATAAGCGCATGTGCCTATACCCGGGCATAAGCACATGTGCCTATACCCGGGCATAAGCACATGTGCCTATACCCGGGCATAAGCGCATGTGCCTATACCCGGGCATAAGCGCATGTGCCTATACCCGGGCATAAGCGCATGTGCCTATACCCGGGCATAAGCACATGTGCCTATACCCGGGTATAAGCACATGTGCCTATACCCGGGCATAAGCGCATGTGCCTATACCCGGGCATAAGCGCATGTGCCTATACCCGGGTATAAGCACATGTGCCTATACCCGGGCATAAGCACACCCTCACAAATAAGCGCACGGGCTTATAAATATAAGTGAACCCGAATGCAGTCCATCCCGCGACACACAGACACCACAAAACACCATGTTCACATAGTTCAATGTGCATTGCAGTATTGCACCACATGTAAAAATAATCCATAACTATGCAAGGTACACTAGCAACTCAAGCGTGTGCGCCTGTATGCGAGGCAAAACGACCCGCAAAAAATAGCAAATAACGCAAAAACTCACTCGTAAGCGCATGTGCCTATATGTGCATCACACTACGGTACGCAAGGCCACAAACCGTTGAAGTGCTATTGTTCTGCACCTTGTTGAGACCTCTGTTGTCTTTTGCTTGCATGCTGTGCTGTCCTCTACACCTTTCAACAGCTGCAGTAAGACATGCCCTGCTAATACGTTTGGAATTGGCTGCTCACAAACGTGCAAGTGCATGGACGCCAACACGAAATCCTGCTCACATGTTGACGGTAGCTGCACCTGCAAAGACTGCTGGAAGGGCAGTATGTGCGATCAATTATGCCTTGTGACCTCTGCAGGCACTTGCCACTGCACTATTGGCAAGTGCTCACCAGCCTGCAGTAACGGGATTTGTGATGGATCTGGATCAACTCCGGTTTGCAGGTGAAGTACTATGACGTCGTTGAGATTGTGAATGTGTGTGTGTGTGTGTGTGTGTGGAGGGGGGGGGGATAATAATGCGAGGGCGTGTATGTGTATGCGCGCGTGTGTGTATGTGTGTGTGTGCGTGCGTGTGTGTGTGCGTGTGTGTGTGTGTATGTGTGTATGCATGTATGTATGTATGTAGGTGTCTGTGTGTGCGCGTGTGAGACACAGAGAGAGACAGACAGAGACAGACAGACAGACAGACAGAGACAGACAGAGGCAGAGGGACAGAGAGAGGCAGAGAGAGGCAGAGAATGACAGAGAGAGAGGCAGAGAGAAACAGAGCGATATAGACAGCTACAGAGAGAGATACAGAGAGAGAGAGACAGACAGAGACAAACAGAGAACAGAAGACAGAGAGGTGAAAAGAGACAAAGACAGCGAGAAATAAAATACACAGACAGAGACCATGAGAGAAGGAAGGAGTGAGAAAGACAGACACAATGCGTTGGAGAAAGGGTGTCGGGTGGGGCGGGGGGGGGGGGGGCAAGTGGGGCAGAGGGGTTGTTATTATGAGACTTAGCATTGCGGTAGTTGCAATAGTGACATAATATGTCACAATTTCAACATTGTTACATCAACCATTGTCAAGTGGATTTCACGTATTTGCACCGCAAATTACCGATAATCATTTACTACGAGTAAAAATTACCTTTCACTCTATTCCTCAGGCCAAGTACACGTGTTGCAATGACTCACAATGGTGTAGTCGAGTGCTGAGCGGCATACAATCTTGCCTGTCTTGGTCTTGTAACCTTGTAGATGTAATGCTGGCTTCATGGGCGCAGCCTGTAATCAGCCGTGTCCGGCCGGTAACTTTGGCCCTGGTTGTGCTGGGGTCTGTGGCTGTGGCAACGGCAACTGCAGCTCGGGCGATGGATCCTGCACATGCACAATTGGCTTCACAGGTAAAGCCGGAAACCTGTACTCTCTCTCTCTCTCTCCCTCTCTCTCTCCCCCTCTCTCTCCCCCCCTCTCTCTCTCTCTCTCTCTCTCTCTCTCTCTCTCTCTCCCTCTCCCTCTGCCACATAAAATCGGTGATTAATTTCTGCATGAAATGATCAAGATGGAGTGTTTGGTACGTAATTGTTTAGAAATCTATGGTCTGGGTTACGATATGCTTACGCAACCCATCTATGCATTCAGAAAGAACATGTCACCGCGCTTACACCATTTACCTTGCACCTCTACCCGCACTTTAAATGTCAACTTGAAATATAAATTATGTGAAAGAATCTTGAGGTCTTGGCTTTGACACACACTGTAGTGTCCAAGCTGCTACTATGATTCGTTGCTGTGGATGGATCAGCACGCCTGCTGGTGCCAAGGTGCAGGCGACAATTGCGCAATGCAAGACCCGGTGTGCGTTGTCTCTCGCATTTATTTTGCGTCTCTTTCTCTCTATCTCTCTCTCTCTCTCTGTCTCTGTCTCTCTATGTGTCCATATCACCCTACGAAACACACAGGGGCGCGGTGCGATAAACCGTGCCCAGCGGGTACGTATGGTTTCCAGTGTGCCTGGGTGTGTCCGTGTGCCAACGGAGGCACGTGTGACCCGGTTACAGGCGCCTGCACATGTTCAGGCGTCTACAGCGGCCCAACGTGCAATCAAAGTGAGTGACTGGGTGCATACACACACACACACAACATGCTAGGTGTTGTCTGAAGTCCTTAGCAGCAAATATTGTCTTCTTACACACAATGCTTTTCAATGAAATCTGATTGAGTGACTCAAGTACGCTCGAGGCGTTGAAAAATACACGGGTTTTCTTGGCAAGTGAACCGAAGTGCACACAATCCGACAGGGGAATGCCTGGGTTGAGCAGGCAAAGGCGATGAGGGGAAGGGATTGAGCCCCCCTCCCCCCCCCCCCCCCCCCCTCCGTCCCCACCACCCTCACGATGTCGAGCTGCTTGGAATGGGAGGGCTCTCACACCTGTTGTCCGTACGGTCAGACTTCACTAAGGGACTTCAGAACCCTACTTCGTTTCGTTTAGTAGCACCCGGGCGGCTCGGGATCTCTGGCAAGTGAGCAGGTAATGATGCCTGTGAATTTGAGTAGTACAATAATGATATCGTGCTGTAACAAGCTGGGCATGGTACAATAATGATATCGTGCTGTAACAAGCTGGGCATGGTACAATAATGACATCGTGCTGTAACAAGCTGGGCATGGTACAATAATGATATCGTGCTGTAACAAGCTGGGCATGGTACAATAATGATATCGTGCTGTAACAAGCTGGGCATGGTACAATAATGATATCGTGCTGTAACAAGCTGGGCATTCAAGCTCGGTTGTATGTGTACTCAATGTTTCTCTGTACAGTCTGCAACTCCACCTCGTACCCGCAGTATCAGTCGAGCCCGACCAGCTGCTCCAACTGCACGTGTGATCCAAGTAGCACTTCGAAGTAAGTGTTGGTTCGTTGTAGCATAGATTTCTGTGTAGGTCTCAGGCGGGCACTGTTGCTGCGCTGATGCTTGACGCACAGCGTGCATGGCGCCATTCACGTGCTGGGAAAGAAAGTGGAGCATGATTGTCTTCTGGTGATCGCGTAACCATGAAGCTTGGAATCACAGCAGTCTTCGATTTTGCTCCGGTTTGTTACCAGTATATCCTTTGAATAATGGAATTTCTGACCCGGGCTACACAACTGACCTTTCAGAACTCCATGAAACGTGTTCTGTGCTTTGGATCCAAATGCCAAAGCATCGGCCTAGTGCCTTTAGCAGGAGTCCCCAAGAGCCCTGGTTTGCAACACCAATAAACTGCCTGATGACATGGTCAGCAGACAATGGCTAGGAGTTTCATTCTAGGTCTAGGCCTTACAAGTTTAGCGTACTGTGCTACCATTGCCATCGTGATGTCATTCAGCTTCCCTCCGTATCGTATGCTTTCCTGGTTCAAGGCTGTCCAGCACAGGGTACAACATATTTCAGGGTTCTCACATTCAGATTTCGTCCTGCACTGTGTCCTAAACAAAGGCAGGAACCATGGGGTACGAACATTATAGTAATTGCAACAGACATGGTATTCACTTGTTGGTGTTTTTTTTGTGCACAGGTGCGATACGTTGACTGGCCTTTGCACGTGCAAGACTGGTTTTGCCGGTCGCGACTGCAACTATCCGTGCCCGGACGGGTCCTACGGTGACCAGTGCAACGGACTGTGTCGGTGCAAGAACGGCGCAACGTGCCATCCAGTCACCGGTGCCTGCAGCTGTGCGCCAGGCTATCAAGGCCCACTGTGAGTGCCCACTTCCATCTGGTAGAGAAAAGACCGAAATCACTGACAATTTGATAGGCAGAATGCCACTATTTACGGGGCTATTACGGAGTACATGTACTGGGTTCAATCTAATAGAAAACAGCACAAGATAACACACAGTTTCATAGGCACACTTCATGCATTGTACCACAGGGCTGAAATATTGATCCTTACCGTCATGGTAACAGTGCATTGCGTAATGCTCTTGGCAATATGCTGCACACATCAGCACTGCAGTCCCGATGTACAATGCATGACTAACACACACACACTGCCATTATTTATGGGCTATCACTGTACACCGTGAGTACAGAGCAGGGGCGTCGGAAGGTATTTTAATGTGGTGCGGTCAGCCATCTGAAGTACAATTTACTCGTGGGGGGGGGGGGCTGAGCCGAGAATTTTGGAAATTTAGAGCCCAAATCAGTGCATTTTATTGATTCACGGGGTACTTGGGGCGAATAGTGGTACGGTCAATACCGTAGTGACCGTACCGTGTGCGACGCCCCTGCCGAGTGATAGAAAAAGCACCAGATTACACACAATTTCATCGGCACACTACCAATATTTGTGGATGTTCACTAGTCCAGTAATCCGCCGGTAGAAATTGCCATCGGAGTGAAAAGGTCTACCAGTATAAAATTCATACAAAGATCGAGAGCCAAGGATAAATTTATAGAAAAGAAAAAAGACCAAGGAACTACAAGTTATGCTATAATGTCCACTAACACCACCAGTTACTAAACAATCAGCTCATGCGATAACATTGCATGGCACTGACCGACGGTACTGACGTTCTACAACTAACTGGCTAACAGCTCTAGCACTTGGCTCTACATCTGAGTACATTCCTGTATAATATTGCATGGTATTGTTCTCATTGTGTTCTCAAAGTGATGTTAGCTGCCGTTTATTTAATTACACTAGATATTGTCACCGAGCCACGCTGTTTAATTCTATTTAGCTCACTACTGCTAGGTTCATCAAAGACGCCTCATTGCCCGAAACAATCCCTGCCTTCAGAATTGGTTATCGGTTTGTGCGAGTAGTCATTTTTGTTGTATCCTTCCAATTAATTCATGGTGTTGGTGATCCCTTCTCGTGTATGTTCAGTTGTGCCTCGACATGCGCGCCAGGCATGTACGGAGTGGACTGCACGCATCCTTGCAGCTGTCAGAACGGAGCGGCGTGCGACATGGCCACTGGTGCCTGCAACTGTACAGCAGGCTGGATGGGCACGACTTGCGGCACTGCCTGCCCTGCCGGTTTCTATGGCTACGGGTGCAGACAAGCCTGTGATCCTAAAGTAAGATATCATCACAATATCAAAAAAATAATATTGATATTGTCGTAACAATCATTGTCAATCATTAACAATCATTATCATCATCATGTACAGGGATGAATTTACTGTCAAATTTTGCATAGCAGTTTCTGCTATACGAAATCACAATTGTGTAGCATTCAGTTTGATTTTGATTAGCATTTTTCTTTGAAAGTTGGGTGTTTACCACATTGTCCTTCTTGAGAGTGATGCCTGAAAGCCCATTTGCAAAAAACGACTGAAGCATACACGTGCTTGCAGATTGAGAGTGTTGTACCACATACACTGCACTGTATGCATGTTACTTGACAGTGCAGGCTAGGCATAAATAGCTTGTATGTATCGCAATTTCCTGCTAGTCACGGTGACTTTTGAGTAGCAGTAGATCGATTTTGCATCGCAAACTGCGATACGATACAGGATAAATTCATCCCTGATGTATCAAGTGTATTCGCTGCATAGTTGGTGTGGTCTGCTCATGATATAGTACAATATGCCAAGACATGTCCTGTCAACTTCTCTTCCATTTTGTTTTGCAGAAGTTCAAGTACGGCTCAAACTGTTTATTGGATTGTGGTTGCTACCTGCCAAACACCATAGGTTGTGATCCATTCACTGGGAGTTGTCAGTGCAAGCCTGGCTTCGCTGGTGAGCTATGTAGTGTATTGGTGCGATAATTAATTTCTTGTGGTAGCTCATGCTCATGGATAGCTTTTGCGTTATGCTGTAGCTGATTGGGATGGGCTGGCAGTGTCTCAATCTGCCTTTGGGTTGCCACCGTCTCCCGAGTTCTTTGACTCGACTACAGTCACTCTCTCACTTGAATGCCGTGTACTGCAATACTGATGAACTACATGTAAATTGCAAGTTCTGCTCACACCCACGCCACTTAACCAGTACCTAAGCGCACCGCTAACTGGAGGTGTACATTCCACATAAGCAAACTGCGCCTTGACTGATGCTCACGCGCTGACACCATTTCAGCCTACTGGCTCAGAGGGTTCATGTAAAATTTAGGTTATCATTTTGGCTTCGCAGAAAATCTTTGTGTTGCCGATATTTAAAACAGTGTTTCAAGTAAGTTGCATTGATTTGCATATAAGTGTACTAGCTGTCCTTCAAAGCATGCACTGAAATCTATTTCATCCTGTTGCTGCAGGTGCAACATGCAGTTCAAACTGCCCGTCGCATAAATACGGTGCTGACTGCCAGCTCGACTGCCCCTGCCAGCACAACAGCTGGTGTGATCCGATCAGCGGCGCCTGCAACTGCTCTACCATCCTCGGATACAATGGCACATTCTGCGAACAGGGTGAGTGCAAGGCTAGTGTAGCGTTCACGGCTGTCCAGGGGTTGACTGCACAGTTGAGCCTCACCAGCATGCATTTCAGTGCAATGGTCACATGTAAGGTAGCAAGTGTCTGGTGCCTGATGATTGATTGCACTGAACATGAAACTGAAGAGTTGCAACAAACTAGTCCTGCTCCACTCTCAGAAAACCGGGTGCATCCTTCTGGAATACAGCACTTTTGGTCGCAGAGGAACTGGGGTGGGGGTTAGCCTTGTAGCCCAGACCATTCTTAGGGAGCGTTCGAATTGTTTTCATCAACTGTTCGAACAAATTCTTAAAAGAGATTAGTTGAAGAGTCCCATCAGAACGGTTTCTGTCATTTTAGAGTTTTCAGTGGAATTGTCATGGCGATGATGACGTCCGATCAGATCGACCATCTCCACGTATTACGTGACGTAGCTATTCCGAACTCTTCGGCACTAATCCACCTCTCCCATAGGATGAGGTTGTGGAGTTTCGAGGAGTTTCGTTGTTCTGAAGAGGCCAATACGGCCACCTCTTCAGAAAAACGAAACTCCTCGAAAAGTCAAAGAGTGACAATTCGAAAGCGCCCTTATTTACTACATACAATCTATGCACAGTTGAGTCACCGTGTGTATATTGGTATGCTGCGCTTGGTGAATTTCTAGGCTGTTCGGTCTTCGGCGATCCGTTCTTTGGTGCCTGACAGTACTGTAGCGAGTATCTATAGCTGTATGCATTGGAACCCCCCCCCCTGCTGCTGTTCACCCCCCCCCCCCCTGCTGCTGTTCACCCCCCCCCCCCCCCCTGCTGCTGTTCACCCCATGGTACAGGCAAGGCTGCAACATTGTTTCACCTTCTTACAATGTCATATTATTGAATTTTCAGGAATCGGTTGAGATCGGTAGAACTGCAGGGTATGGATTACTGCCGCAGGTTCTTCCTACAAACTGACAGAATCTGTTGGCGGTGAACTTCGCATGGAAGTTCAATGATCAGCACTTGTGGCGTTTGTAATCTCAACAGGCATTGACTTTCTGCAGTCCCGGTGGAGTAGGCTGACAGGTTTAGTGCATGTGTGAGAACAGGGTACAGGGCGGACGGGCGCAGGGGTGGGGGGGGGGGGGGTGAGCATGGACATGTACTGACTCTACTTGCTGGTCCGTGCTAACGTTATGCTGCTTGCAGAGTGTCCGCATCCAAAGTATGGCGTGGAGTGCACCAAGACGTGCACGTGCTTCAATGGATTCGAGTGCTTCCCGACGAACGGCTCTTGCAAGTGCGGCGTAGGCTACTCCGGGTCTCAGTGTGAAATCAGTAAGTATTTCCACCACGGCGATCGGTAATCAGTCCACCGTGTTTCTTGACTATTCCACCATGGTGATTGACTCAGGCTAATGCTAATTGGGAACTCGTAGCCTGGCACGAGGAAAACATGGATGCAGTGAATGGGATTTTTCGGTCTTTGACCACTTGCTGGGGAGCTGATCTACTCACCTCCCACCGCTTTAGGAGCTGCATCTGCGCCTTGATCCTTGAAGGGTGGTGGCGTACCTATGTATGCAGAAAACTCGGCCTCTAGCGAACCGTGAAATTTTTTAAATGGTTATTAATGCACCTTGTTTGACAACTATTCCACTTGAGTGATGGACTATTCCAGTCTGTTCCACCGTGGTGTGGTGTTTGGTATTTCCACCATGGCGATTGACTATTCCACCTTTTTTAGTCGGCTTTTCCAACTGGGTGATTGGCAGAGGTATCACACATGCTACAGTCACTAAGGTATTGACCGTACCACTTTTCAGAACATATACCTCGTGAATCGATAAAACGATAAGTGTGGAAATGGTCACATTCTTTGGCTTTGCCAAGAAAAACTTAGCAACCTGCCTTTGCAAATTGTTTGTTGCTTGTACTGTTCAACTGGTCGGAGACCTAAAACTGCACCACAGCGGTTGAACTCTAAGAACACATGTAGCCATGGTTGTAACCTTGCTACACACATGTTGATGGGTCAGCGTCGATCACTGATGTAGCACTAACAAAGAACTTTGTCTTGTGTCACCGCAACTGCCTGTCTATGCATAGCAATTTTGCAAAAAGGTGTGTGTGCGTGTGCATTACGTGTATGTTTGTGTGTGTATCTCTGTGTTTGTATGTGTGCATGTGCGTGTGTGCATGTGCGTGTGTATGTGTATTGTATGTGTGTGTGTGTGTATGTGTGTGTGTGTGTGTTTACATGTATGTGTACATATATATTATATATGTGTGTATGTGTGTGTGTGTGTGTGTGTGTGTGTGTGTGTGTGTGTGTGTGTGTGTGTGTATGTGTGTGTGTGTGTGTGTGTGTGTGTGTGTGTGTGTGTGTGTGTGTGTGTGCATGTGTGTGCATTTATGTATGTGTGTGGGTGTGGATGTGTGTGTGTGTGTGTGTGTGTGCGTGGATGTGTGCACATACGTTTTCAAATCTGCCCAGGCTGTCCGGCTGGGTTTTGGGGTGAGGCCTGCCGGTCACGCTGTGTCTGCAGTGGCAATGGTGTGTGCGACATCGCCACTGGCAAGGTGTGCTCGTGCACGCCGGGCTGGAGAGGAGCGACTTGCCAGACACGTAAGACGTAGCTGTGCTGTCAGACAGAGTTCATTCACAGCTAGCAAGGAGGACAACAAACAAAGAACTACATTCCAAAGCAGTGCGCGAAGACAAAAGAATTATGTGTATGAACACGAAAGGAAAGTGTGTACGAGCGCATAAGGATACAGGAGCTCTAGGCGCGTGCATAGGGGATGCAGAAGCTAGTTGCACCATATACGGAAGTATGCAATATACATCAATATCCAGTATACAAACAGTTGTACAGTCGACTCCTGATATAACGAACACCATTGTGCAGGAGAATTAGTTCTTTATAACCAAAGTTCGTTATAACAGAAATGCACTCACACCATACGAGCAGCAAGGCATGACTGGCAAGTGGTCCATGACAGTATGAATGCACTTGGTTTACATGCCACCATACAAGATTTGGTTCGGCATAAACGAAAGCTGTTTGCTATAAAGGGTCAATTTCGTACAGGTTCAAACAGGGACATGAACAGCAGTTCGTTACATCACGAAATTCGCTATATGCGAGTGCGTTATAAGTGGAGTCGACTGTACTTGTCCTTGTACTTGCTCATACTACCCATACTACTGCTCACTCTACCCATACTACTGCTCACACTACCCATACTACTGCTCACTCTACCCATACTACTGCTCACTCTACCCATACTACTGCTCACTCTACCCATACTACTGCTCACTCTACCCATACTACTGCTCACTCTACCCATACTACTGCTCACTCTACCCATACTACTGCTCACTCTACCCATACTACTGCTCACACTACCCATACTACTGCTCACACTACCCATACTACTGCTCACACTACCCATACTACTGCTCACACTACCCATACTACTGCTCACTCTACCCATACTACTGCTCACTCTACCCATACTACTGCTCACTCTACCCATACTACTGCTCACACTACCCATACTACTGCTCACTCTACCCATACTACTGCTCACTCTACCCATACTACTGCTCACTCTACCCATACTACAGTGCTGTTGAGTGCCAAAGAACTGGGGGGTCAGCTTCATAGCCTTGGCCATTCCTATTTTCAGGTACTATGGTCTATGCACAGTTGAGACACCGTGTATACTTCGGCATGCTGTGCTTGGGGAAATTCTAGCCTGGTCGTTCTTCGGTATGCTGTGCTGGGGGAAATTCTAGCCTGGTCGTTCTTCGGTATGCTGTGCTTGGTGAAATCCTAGCCTGGTCGTTCTTCGGTATGCTGTGCTTGGTGAAATCCTAGCCTGGTCGTTCTTCGGCTACCGAAAGTACTGTAATGCAATAAGAAATCGTCAGTTTCACCAAATCTAAAATCTTTTTAAGATACAGTCAACTTCGCTAATAACGACTGCGGATATAACGACAATTCGCGAATAACGACAGAATTTCCATGCCCAGAGCAAACACACGGTCCCATCCAACTGTAATACATATAATGAGACTTCGGGTATAACGACACTTCGCGAATAAGGACAGTTTTCTGATGCCCGGCCGCCGAGTGTGGTTATATGCCAAGTTGACTGTACATGAAGACTCCCCTGATTTAGGCTAAGGCCTGTGGAGAATGTAGTGATTTAGGCTAAGGCCTGTGGTTGAAAGCCCCGTTTTTGTGAAGTTTGAATCAGTTACTGCTATGAGTATTCAGTTGCCAGGGGTATTGTTCATGTTCTGAGGTTCAATTGACTTCAAAACTGCCATGTTTCGGAGCTACCCTTTCACTAATGCAGAATTTTGGCATTATGAAGACATAGCTTGTGCAAACAGATTAATTCTAGGACAAAATTCTGACACTATTTGCTAACGATTGTAACCGATTAATGGGTCGTTAAGCTAAAGAGTAATCGATAGTAAAAATCCACGATCGTTTCAGCCCGAACTGGAAGACACATCAGCACGCGAACGAAACAAAGCTACTGGTAAATCCGGTCAAGCCTTTTGCACCATTTGTCTTCCAAACCAGTACGAAAGTGACATCAAGAAATTAGCAAGAACTGTGTAAGCGACATTGTTTGCTCAGCTGCGGCTGATATCAAGATTATACTGGTTTTGACGAGCAACTGTGTGTAAAGACATGCAGTGTATTATATTAGTGGCTTGGTTTAGTTGAATCCTGGTCCAGATGAGCCATTTCTGTGAAAGGTACCATGCACCATTCTATCCACTGGCGCGTTTCCCCTTTAGGCGGACAGTTGACTCGGACAAAATTGACAATGAACTCCCTGTCCCATTTTTACGAACATAAACATTACAGTGGGCGGTGCATTACTTTACCGTCTGCGTCTCCTCGTTTTCTCTCCTTCTTGTTTTGCACAGTTTGCCCACAGGGCACGTTTGGCATAGATTGTGCCAGCACCTGCACTTGTAAAGCAGACGAGCTGTGCTCGCCGGACTATGGACATTGCAGCTCCGCTCCACCAAGCACCAGTCCGACTGCTTTCTCAGGTACATGTAGCACTTGAACAGAAAAAGGTGCCAGGCTGTCCGAAAGAGTGCTGAATGCCCGAGGGCAGAGCTACTTGCAACAAGTAAAGTAGGATAAATAAATCACAGTCTGCTCGGCTAGCCGTGTGAGTGAGACTCTGAGTTGCAACGAATAATTATTAATTTGACAGGCGTCTTTTACCGGCAAAAATGAACACAATGGTAAAATGCAATAAATCATACACTGGAGGAGAAATCGGAAAAATGCATGTGTAAAATAAAGAATTAATAATTATTCATCCTCTTCATCTTGTTGCATTCTCAGGTATTACATACATGTATACTGCCGTCCCGGTTCTGTGTCAGTTTCCTAAACTGGACAGGCTCAAAACTGATAGCCATGACACACAGGCTATTATGTTCTTGCCTACAGTCCATTCATTCGAAACTGGCACCCTAACTTTTTGGTGCCTCTCTCACATATATGGTGAAAACAACAGTACATCCTGCATTGTGTGACCTGTGCAATTGCTCCTTGCCACATTTGAGGCCAGAAAAGTCCAAGAACAGGGAAATAGAAATTCAGCCAGGTTTCACAAAATTAGGACAGGTATGCCATGGCAAAATGTATGGAGAAGCAGATCCCAAACCCAGATTTTTAAGATTTAAAGTGGGTTTTTGATCCTCAATTCGGCCCAAATCCGACTTTCAAAAGCCAGCGGGCCAGTTTCCGATGAATGGACTGTAGCAATGCTGTGATCATGTGACATGCTGTGATCATGTGACATGCTGTGATCATGTGACATGCTGTGATCATGTGACCTGCTGTGATCATGTGACATGCTCATGTGAACACCGGCTGTACACCAGCTTCTCTTGTGTTCTGCCCATCAACTTGTGTACAATTGTCATGGATATAGCACAGCACACCCTTAGAACTATTCTTCTTTTTCATGCCGTGTCCCCTACAGTTGGCACGGCTGTGTCGTCAGTACTTCATAGCACGGCTGTGTCGTCAGTACTTCATAGCACGGCTGTGTCGTCAGTACTTCAGACTGGCCTCAGCACCGCTGCTGCGACATCCTTTGGGCTCGGCACAGGTGCAGGAACCCAACCGGAAGGGACTGTTGGTGGCCAGGGAGTTGACGACGGTGAAAGCAATATTGGCCTGCTGGCACTTCTTGCCCTGCCAATCATTGTACTGGGTATGGTCCTCCTGCTCATCTACATTCGCCGACAGAGAAATGCAGCAATGCCGTAAGGAAACCTGGCGCATGCTGTATGTTCATTCCTCATTTTCACTGAATGGTGCTAAGAGTGGCCATGCTGCTATGGCATGTTTCGCTCCTTAAGCAGTGCGTGTAAAGCACCACTGCTTGGCAACCGTGCAAGCAACGGATGCTGTTCCCGAGCTGCAGCACCGTATTACTTGGTCCGACTTATTAAAATGTGCGCTTCACTTCGAAACTCAAGCATATGTACAAAGGAGCACCTGTACTAAAAATCAACCAAGAGACGGTAGATAGATAACTACTGTGTCGTTTCTTGGCCTGACCTTCTAGTTTTCATCGCTGCTGGTGTCTCAGGGCGCAGCTGCAAGTGCGTCAACCTGCAAAACGTCAACCATATTTTTCATCTCGTCCAAGCTACACTGCACTTCTTTGATTTTTTCACTCCATAGCCACGATTTCCACGATCGACTTCGCCTCCTCCTCGTGCAGTGCGACTACCAGAATGGTGGCTGTAGGTGTTTTCGCCTGAAGCTCCCACGACACCTTCAAATGAGGCGAACAAGTAAACCACCACGCATAAAAAATCACTTCTGACCACCGTGTACCGCGCGCGTACTGAGTCTGATTTGTGTCGACATGTCATGCAGTCAGACCATGCGTGCTCTTCCCTGCCTGTTTCACGAATCCACTGGCCCCGGAGACATGCGATCTTGTGACGCATCGCGATCGCGGCTCCTCGCGCGGATCCGAGGACTCCGCACCGTATCCGCCGGATAATTCACCCTTTCTGCGCTTCAGGTTTCCAGCCAGGTTGTCGCCTGAAAGTCGACCTCAAGGTCGGTTATATATTTCGATCAACTACTTCTCGACGATCTCTTCTGTGATCTTGATTCGTCGGCCGCCACATCGTGAACGACTGCGAGAGAGACCAGCAAACTGGACGGAGCGATGCTGGTGCTTTCTGCACGAGTTTCTGGATGACGCGTTTGCTGAAATTCTGACAAGGAAACAGCGATTGCAGCGATTTCAATCCGCCAGGAGGCACTCGAGAACGATCGCCCAGGAGGTTTTGGTACTCCATGACAATCCCCCATCGCAGCGGGGTGTTGATTTCAGAACCAGGCCTTCTCTGTGTTGCGCGAGAAGCAACAGGAGTCCTCTGACGACAAAATTTGGACGGAAAATGCTCGAGTCGACTAGGATCCTGAGCCGCTGCCTCCTTTGGAGTTGGAGCCATTTATTCTTCAACATCACAAATTGACAACTGAATGATAGTGTTAGATAGCTGGAAAGTTTATCCCGTCCAGAGATTATTTGAATTTGTTTGGTTGATGTTCGAAGCGAAACGCACATTTTAATAAATCGGACCAAGTACTACCTTCCTATGGTGGCTACCAAGAGTTGCTGAGCAAGGGCATGCAGGCGTTAACCCTTCCCCTCCCCCTCCCCCTCCCCCCCCCCATCACACACACACACACACACACACACACACACACACACACATACACACACACACACACACACGCGCGCGCGCACACACACATACACACATACACACACACACGTACACCATGAACCATGCACACGACCGTCACAAGAGAAGCACGCAAAACTGCAAATGCACTGGATGTACACCCACAGATTTTCTCTTTGTAGCACCAATAGCGGACAAGATCTGAATGAGATGGATCAAGACACACACACACGCACGCACGCACACACACACACACTGTAAACGTTTACAAGTGTGTACCATTGTTGTTGCTGTTGTGCAGGCATGGACGAACATCAGGCAGCGATGACTTGACACCAAATCGCATATACAACAAGCCAATGGGCAACGGAAATGGCTCTGCATTCTTCAACCGCAACTCTTCACAAGTTCGTCTTCTGCCAAAGGACCAGGTAAACCCGGGATTCAGGCCCGATGGTGAAGATGGGGACGATACAGATGGACAAATCCAGAACGATGGCCGCCAAGACGTCGCCTTCTGGGACGGCAAAGTGCCGACGCGATCCAAGAACGCCTCCTTAAATACAGGTAGTACTGCCAATGCGTCACGCACCCCCAGCGGTGTGAAGCCCTCTGGAGTGGGACGCACAGCAAGCTCGACGACTTTGCCCGGAGCTAAGAACAGGGCAATGGTGGCATTGCCGACACTTCCGTCGCCTCCATCAGTGGATGGTGATTACGAAATAGCCAAAGACTTCGGCACAACACCTTCACAAGCCAAAGACAGCAGCTGGCGGCCGAACGTCAGCCGAGGAGCTTTGTCCAGGTAAGAATTTTGCTCGAATACATACCGCATTTCCCCGATTATAAGTTGCACTCGATTATAGGTCACACCCCCATTCTCAGGTTTGAGCTATAATTATTGTTTCGAGACATTCACTTCAGTAGCATGTCACGCTCGATTGTAAGTCGTACCCTATTTTTCCCTTGAATTTTACTGCAAAAAAAGGGGTGCTCATATCCGGGGAAATACGGCACGCATAGTGCAGTGTACCGTGAGTTGGTATAAAAATTGGGATATCTTGGGCCGGGATTTTGCAAAGATGACTGTGCTCAGTATATGAACTCGGATGGAAATCCAATGATAAAATTTAACTTAGAACCTGCCAAGTTGGAAGGCTGTTGGAGTGCGCATCTAAAATGTGCTAGAGCTGTTAGCCAGTTAGTTGTAGAACGTCAGTACCGTCGGTCAGTGTCGTGCAATGTTATCGCATGAGCTGATTGTTTAGTAACTGGTGGTGTTAGTGGACATTATAGCGTAGAGTATGAAGGAAATTATGTACGTTTCAGAGACGACGAAAACGTATTCAACGTCTCCTCTGGGCATGTTAGAAAGAGTCTCCCCTGGGCGAAACATCAGTCCTTCCATTTTGTCTTCTTTTGTGATATGCTGCTGTAGAATGAGCGCGGGGAACATTCCCTTCAGTACCAACAGCCCCACATTGGCCACTGATGGGTCTCCACAGTGCCCGGGTGACGATGAAGAGTACTCAACGCTGCAGAGAGGAGCGGACGGTCCGGGCGGCGCAGGGCCACCGGACTGGAGAAGCTACATGCCCAGCGTGGAGGGAAAGCAATACGCAACGTTGAACCGCGCCAGCACACTGCCCCCACGTAGTCCTGCAGTCGACGGCGCTTACGAGGATGCTGTGTGCGAAGAGGAATACTCTACGCTTGATCGATCGGCGACCGCTGCCAACGGAAAAGCATCGAAACTTCCAAGCAGGAATAAGTGGGAGACCTACAGCACTCTGGATCGGAGCACACGAGAGCCCGCTCTTGTGCAGGGTGCGGACGCTCCTGCCGACGCGGAGTACTCGACAATTCAGAAAGGTGCCGTATCATCGGTCCCTGTTGGTTCTGCAGGATACAGTACACTGGAGAGAGGACAATCGTTGCATGGCCCAATGTCCACTATTCTGCAGAGCACACTGACGGAGGAGGCTGTTCAAGACGGGCAACCTAGCAATGATCAAGCAATAGTGAACATAGCAGCCACGACTAGCAATGCACTCCAGAGCGTGTCTGCTTCAGAGAGCCAACAGCCTTCTGCGAAAGATTTTGCAAACCTGACTGAACGCCCACACCAAGGTGCTGTGCAAGGTGAGAGAGCCTACGAGAACACCAGCCCTGAGAGCAAAGCCAACACTGCCAATGAGGCTATGGAATCCACCGCGATCCTCAGGAGCGTATCCACTTCGGTGAGCCAACATTCGTCTGGAAATGACCTCGCAAGCTCGAGTGACCGCCCGCACCAAGGTGCCGTGCAAGGTGAGAGATCGTACGTGAACCCTGAGAGCAAAGCCAACACAGCCAAAGCAGTGCCGCCGCCTTTACACACAGAGCCGGTAGCAGTCCCCAAGCGGATCAAATCCAGGCCCGTTAGCAGGCAAGCATCAGTAGATCAGCCGAAGCACAGTACGTCTCACCTCTACAGTCAGCAACGCATGTCGCTCCGCCGCACGTCCAAGAAGGAAGAAACCTCGAGCAGTGCGACCGGTGAAGACAATCTCGCAACCGTTATCTGACCTCGGGTTTGAACTGTTCGTGACGCTATCTTGATTGACTGTGAGTCTTGCCTTGACGGTGTTGTGTGATGTGCCCAATGATAGCTATGGTATTGAAATGCAATACACTACATGTATGTTGCAGATTATGTTACACAAATCGTGAGCAGTCCTCTACTGGAGAGTGAGATATGGGCACTGTAATTTGAATTTGACATAGAAATATGCGTAGAATCGGTTATATACTTCAAAATAATTATTATTTTGTTTCTAAGGTTACGCAAACTAGCTACTTCACGAATTTAGCCATTCACAAATTATCAAAACATGTATTTATGTACTCAGATGGAGAGCCAAGTACAGTATAGCGTAACTTGTAGTTCCTTGGTCTTTCTCTTTTGCATGTATTTATGCATTCCTGATACACACACAGCTTCTCACACGAAAGCCGCCACGTGTACATGTACAATATGTGCGTATATGTACCATCCTGTATGGCAGTGTAGAAGTGGCATTACTACAGGTACACTGCAGCTCAGCTTTGCTTGCACTTGGTCTTCTTGATACAATGATAGGAAGGCAAGACGCCACAAGGCCTTCCCTTGAAACACTAATCAGGCTACTCAATAGCAACAAGCATTTCAATAAAATCCTTATTCTCATGATGGGCAATGGCCAATTTTGTTGTTGCTGTTCAGTGCTGTTTGCAGCCAGTGCCACTGCCACTGTCTATGCAGCTCTGAGTTTGTCCTGTTGCTAACAGGTGCAAGCAGTGCAAAGATCGTGTGCTATTGCATGACTGTGTTACAGAGTCACTACTGCCAGTATCATTGTGTATATTTTTTTTACACAAAATGCGTTCTCTGTACGCACAGTGCCCAGTGCCAGGTATCCACAGCTGACCTAAGTTTAAAATAATACATAGACAACAGCATGAGGTTCTAGCTTCAAATCCCGCTCACGCTGGAAGCCGTTCGCAGACGTTATTCTAACAATTGTCGCTTTACATACAAAAATGTAGGCTTATTATCGCCTTTTCTAAGTTTTCTTGAAGCTAGAGTTGCACTTGCAGGTAATATTACACCTACAAATATGTACATGTACATGACTGTACACGCAGCTCGTTCTGCCTGAGCCCTCCTACTAGTACTACGACTCTACGAGTCCTAGAACCTGGATCCTGTGCTTGAGCTAGTGCATGTTGCATGGTTTATGTCAGTCTGGCGTGCAGCCACTGACCTACATTTCCATGACTAATAATTATTTAAAAATTGACCGAGTTATGTACATGACATTGTACTGATGTAGCGCACTGGGTTCACGTCGTGTTACGCAATGACCATGATGACAGACGGCTTGGTCCGCGGATGTTGGTCCTGGTCGCAGCTGCGAAGTCGGATGTTCCTATTGACACCTTCTCACCGGATACTCCGACTCCAAGGCACAGGTGCGAACCAGTTCGATCCAGATAATGCAGCGGATACGTAGACCCGCCAGCCAGAAATGGCCACCCAACCATAACTACACACACAATTGCTTTGTTGCAGATACATGTGCTACTTGTAATTACAAGCTAGCACTAATTTATAGCGGGGCTAGCGGGGCTTCTATTTCTAAATCCAGTAACTAAAGCATGTAGTTTAGTACGAAGAGATAGTGCCGTCTCGTCTGTTTGACTTCGTGTTCGCGTAACTTCCACTCTTTTTGCTTATATCCGATAAACACGAGCCTCCCAAGTTGGGTGGTCGCTGTTTCGCGTTCTCGAAGTGAGCCGTGACCATCCTGTGCCGTGGTCCTTCGTCTTTCGTCACCATCTCGTCATTCTTAGTTCGCTGTAATGTTTAGCTTGTTTTCGTCTTGAGTGCGCTCCACCTTCCCCTTTTTCATGTTATTTCATAACTTAGAACCTTCCAAGTAGTTGGAAGGCTGTTGGTTTGCGCATCCAAGACGTGATATAGCTTATCATCAGGTCGTTGAATGTCAGTATCACATCAGTCAGTACTAGCTGTTGCACCTTCTGACTGCACAACATCTTACTTATAACTGTTAGTGTTGGACACAAACTACAGATAACATGACATTGTAACATTTTGGTCCCTTCTTCTAAATTATTTAAAATCCTTGGCTCTCCATCCGAGTCTTAAAATAAGGCCTCGTGTGTAAAAACAATAATAGATGCAACACGTGCCACTAGCAGCCCGGGCCAAAGACACAGTCTACATCATGAATACAGTCATGTAGACCTACATTGTACAAGTACATGATTGTACTGATATGATGTAGTCAAAATTAATATTCGCTTTACGCTGTTCAGACATCATGTATATGGGCTGCGTGCGAAAGCCATCGGCTCATTTGCCTTTTCCTTGGCGTCATGAGCCTCCTATCCCGTCCAGTCCCGTCCGACCTGCGGCTATATGATGCACACTGGTGCGCGGTGGTAACAGTCTTCACAACTTCAAGCCTTGCACATACAAGTAGCTACTGCTGATTCACACTTGGATTCTACGCAACAGGAAAACAGGATAACCCGGTCCCGGGGGCACTTCCTCTGCTCTCCCCACCGCCATGTTGTACAGACTCTGGGCACAGATGCTGATGCCAGATCCGCTCCATATTTATTATACCCGTAATAATGCAATACATCACATCAGTCACATGCTTGCACTACCATGCAGTTCATCTAAACGGGAAGATAAGCGAACACTCAACTAACTCACACACGTGACACATGAACACCAAAGGAGTAAAGACTAAAGTAGAATGGAGGTCGGCTGTCGTCGGTTGAATTTTCGAGGGTGTTTGGTTCCTACAGCTACTTTTCACGAGTTTTCAGCCATCTTTGTCGAGTACATACATGTAACTCTTTCTCCTTGAGTCAGAGTGAGAAACAGAGAGTACCAGGTTCAAGTCCAGCTTGGAAGCGGAAGGATCATTTTTCCAGCCGTGCTGCGACCCACAGATGTAATGTAATTGAGAACGTGCGGCCTGGCACGAGGGAAATATGGATGCAGTGAAGATGGGATATTCGGTCTTTTGACCACTATGTCTTTGCTGGTGGGCTGATCTACTCACCGCCCACCCCTTTTGGAGATGCATCTGCGCCTTTCATGTAGATCTTCGCAGGGTGGTGGCGTTCATAAGGATGCTGAAACTTCAGTCTAACAAATAATTATAAGTCTGAAGCGAACCTTGAAAATTGTGTTTTGCTCCTTGTGATTGACTTAGCACTCTTGATCATTCATGGGTACAGCGAATGTGATTTTAGCTCCTAACGACTAACTGGCACTTGGTGGTCAGTCTGATCTACTCACCTCCCATCGCTTTAGGAGCTGCATCTGCGCCTTGATCCTTGCCTTGAGGGTGTTACTACCGTTCCTACGGATGCGGTGAACATGGAAACTGAGATTCTGAGTCTCCCGCGAACCGTGAATCCTTTTCTTGCATTGTACATGTACATGTGTGTCTAATAGCCTAGTAATAGGGCTCATAACACCTGAATTCTGCACTCAGTGACGAATATTCCTATTGTGTTGGTTTGCCACATGTGTGAATGAGTTGAGTGTTCACACCTTGCGCTAGTCATGTATGTTCTGCATGAAATACCTTTCAAGTAGCAGCTGAACCCTTTCATGCAACTTATCATTCTGATGAGTTCCCGCCATCCAATGGTCCTGGAACGAAACAAGACTTATCAGCACAACTAATGTTACTTGCCATCGTGGAGTGTGGTGGGTTTAACCGTTCGTGCTGTTGTCTGAACACATCGTGTGGTCTTGTCGCGTCAAATGAAGAACATTATTTACTACTGTGAATGGACGGCGACTCGGCGAGATGGCAAAAACAAAATAAACTTTAAAGTAAGTTACGAAGGTAGAACTTGTTCTCATGACATTGCACATTGTACTATATATCTTGTAGAGGGAGCGGGTTTATCGGCCCAGGAAATCTCCAGCTTCTGGCCGGCTAGAGACAACGATTGCATCGCTTCAAGGTGTTGGAATATGACATGTACATGATTGTACATGATTGTACATGACATGATTGTAATGACAATGCTAGTAGTACAAACATGCAGCTACCAGCTCTGGATCTGATTTTTTTGTTTGCAATCGTATCATGGCGAGGCTAGGTGAGCTCATGCTGAGAGGGCGCGCAAATTTTGAAATTGCGTGCTTTCTGCAAGCTACACATGAATTGTGCATGCACATGTATGCTGTCGTGTGTGTGTGTGTGTGTGTGTGTGTGTGTGTGTGTGTGTGTGTGTGTGTGTGTGTGTGTGTGTGTGAGATGTGAGAGAGAGAGAGATGTGTGTGCATGTGTGTACCAAACAGCACCGCTAAACAGGTGTCAGGCAAACAATCAACAATGAATCGAAGTGGAACATGCCACGTAACAATACCACATGTACATCTACATGACTGTACATGTCATTGAACATAAGGCATTGAACATAAGGCATTGAACATCTGCAGATTTTGAACATAGACACCATGGTACCACTATCCGTAATTCATGACTGGTGCATATGACCATATTTTTACATTTTGTTTAATTTTTATCTCCAGTTTGCAGCTACTGCCTACGCTACCTACAGTCAACAGTACAGTACATGTAGTTTGATCCTGCACTCGGCATAATGCATGTGCGAGGGCCGGATTTGGAACGGATGATGATAGAGTGTTAGAGGCATTATCGATCACAATCATAATGCCTCAGAGTGTCAGTGGCAGAGTCACAGTACCTCTGTGCACATTATTTGACACAGTGTCTACGATCCTTGCAGCACAATTTAATACAGAAATGAGATAGTGCTACATGTACATGTACAACGTAGTTTGCTGATCTTTACTACACAAGAGAGAGATTGGAAACTTTGTTACAACTCTGAGTTTCACGTATTACTACGATCATCAGGTAACTGATGGATCCAAAACGGGCAGCCAGAACACAAGGGGGATCAAGGTGGGACATTCTGAGGGGTATCATAGGCGACGCGTATCATAGCGCAAGAGTCAGATGCAGGCGTGAAGTTGCCAAGTCTTCAGACTTGGGGCTATGCAGCAGCAGTTCCGGCATGAATGATATAGAATAGAGCTGGGGACTTAAATGCCAAATACACTCATGCCCACACCATTACACACACATACACCCACACTCTCTCCCTTTCCTTACTACAACGAGAATTTGGTCACTCAGTTTGGATTTCAGTGGAGTGAGAACTCGAACGCGAAATTCGTCGCTAAACGTATTGTAGCTAAGGACGGGCTGGGTAAGAAACTTTCAAAGGATGTCATTTCATGAAGTGAATCATGTATGGACAAACCGTACTACACATCTCAAGGGAATTTACTCTTGCCATGGTGGTCGATGTGCTAGCGGAGTGGATGGACCCAGAGCGCATGGTGGACTGGTGTTCACAATTGAGTTGTTGCTGTCCTGACTTCAGTACAATGTACAGGTAATAGAACTACACACACTGAGTCTGTAAGTACTCCCTTCGAGATGCTGAGCCTCCGAGCTGAGGTGATCGACTACAGACGCCTATTATTTTTCTTCAATCATCTTTCCGATCACATTATCATGGATTTTCAATAAAGTAACAAAAAGTTCTTTGATACTACAGACGCCTAACTGTACTACTACAGTACTGGACTAGAAGTGGATTCAGCCAGATCTGAATCTTTCAAAAAGGACATTGCAACACATGCACATGCGCATGACTGTAGAATCATGAAGGGTAATTATTATACGGTAGTA